CCCAATATCAGGATCTTGAGCTTTCCCAAGAAGAAATTTGGCACCTGACAATGTGGATTCAATTATTTGAAGCCCAATATTGCCCTTTATGAATTGTGGGGCATTATCATTAATGTCCTGAATTGCTACACTTACATGGAAAACATTCAATGGCTTTTCAACCACAGCTTCAAAATCAATAATGCAGTGTGTGCTCTCTCTACACATTCCCTCACGATCTATCCTCTCATTCACATATAGGTTTCCATTTTCAGCATTGATAGTGAAATATGGCTTTTTACCTTCAGAAAGGATATGCAGGTTTCTGTTCTTCAGTTCTCTGGCATTCAGTCCTAGATCCTTGGCAAGATTTCCCACCAAAGACCCCTTTGCCATCTCCTCTGGGATGGAATAGTGAACCTCTTCCAAAACTGCTCCAGAGAACAAAGATGAAAATATCAGAAGTGTTATATACCTTCCTGGTGTTTGAAAGCTCTTTCCAGGCAGGATTCCTCTCATCTTCATTTTCCTCTTCTCTTTGATGAGCACAGGATTTCAGATTTCCACCAACACTTGGAGATTTTATTTTGCCCAGTAAAAAAAAGAACTGGATCCTTTGGCTTAATTTGTATATGCTGCAGTGTTTTCTTTTTCCTTTTTCAGCTGAAACGTTTGTTCCAGCGTCTGCTGGTATTCCCGATGTGCAGTTTGGGACAAAGAGATCTCTCTGCAGAAAGCATCAGTGGAACTTCAGCTGCCCTTGGATTGCCGCCTTGTCCAACAGTGACACTGTGAGTCTGAAACCGAGAACTGCAATCTTTTCCCAGTGATTTTTCTTCCCTAATTCATGACATGGCATGGTGGTATTTATATTTAATGACTCAAACTATATTCTGATACAGGATATGTGAACCCTCTTCTGTTATAAAGTAGAACTATTTGTGTTTTCTTTGTGTTATCTTTTCACTAGTATAATAGATTTAAAAAAATCAACTTCAAAGGAGTATTTGCAGTAAAGAACAAGCAATAAAAACATTTCCTCAATTTACAGCACTTACAATTGTTACCTAGAATATCAATCTGTAAACCTCTTTATGAGAAAAATTGAACTTCTCTAGTGGATTTCTCTATGAAATGTTACGGTGTATAAAGAAAAAGACGATGGGAGAATTGAGGAAATTATTTTATTCAAGGTTTTAAAAACCTCCAAGAAAGGAGAGATAGAATGATGGAATCTTAAGAGTTGGAAGTGACCCCAGGGGTCATCTAGGCCAACCCCCAGCAATGCAGGAATCTAAGCTAAAGCATCCATGGCAGATGGCTATCCAACCTCTGTTTATAAATTGAATTAAGTGCAATTCAAGTGTTCAATGTGCTTTAAGTGTCTTCAGCTGGTGTGGTGTAAGAAACAGAACAGTAATGCAGTTTGTGTCTTGCATTTGGCATGAACTCAGCAGGTTCCCTTAAGTAAGCCACACTTCCCTCAAGGCTCTTCCTGCAGTATGGGAATAATTGCACTAATACTATATAATATTATACATTATAAGTATTATAACCCGGGAGGTAATGTAGCTGTTCTGACAAATCCTGGATATTTGAGGATCTTTACTCAGCTTTAGCTCCAGACTTAGCCTGCAATCGTTTGCACTGCGCTGGTGGTGGTAGGGTTTGGATTGGTTGGAGCTGTTCCTCTGCCAAGCCCTACCAGCCTCCACTGGACTCTACTCACAGGGGGTCACTCTGCTGGGGCGGAATTGCCTGTTCCCTCTGCCAAATGTATGCTTGGTTAGTAGTCATGCCAGTGGGATCTCCACTCATGGCAGCTGATGAAAAATTCTGAAAGGGGACAAGGACAGGGAGAGACAGGAGCCAGTCCCACTACTGTCCCGTGGTGGCACTGGGCCTGATGTGGGTCCAAGTGAGGTGCCCCTCCACCTTCTGCCCAGACCAGCAGCAATGCTGCGGATGTGACAGTGGTCTCTTTGCTCTGTTATGCCTCACGACGCCCAAGCCAGGATTTGGATAGCAGCCTTAGTCATGGTTATAGCTGATCCACGGAAATCTATGTGGTTTAACTCAGTAATAGCTAACTTGCCAAGTTGATCTCAATGTTCGGCTCTATGTATGGCCAAGTCTGGATCCAGTCCACTATATACATAACCCTAAATAATACATATACCTTCCAAGATAGCCACAATTCACATTTCTTCAGCAAAAGCAGTCTCTAAGCAGTTTACAACTATGAAATAATTATGATCAACTAGTTGTGCATAAAGGGCATTAATGTATCTCCAGCTAAATAATCAATATCCACGCTCTACTCTAGAAGACCACTGCCAATTAGTCTTGACCTGGTGGCGGATTTTATATCACACATACTGAAACATGATTGATCTACACAATACAGGTAAAAAGAAAAAAAACGTGTGGTCTGTGTTTGCTTCCACACCCTAGCATGAAGCCAGGCACAGTGAATGGATTTGACTATGTGCCACAACTTATTTACTTACAAGTCTGATATAAAAAAGGTAAAGGTAAAGGAACCCCTAACCATTAGGTCCAGTCGTGACCGACTCTGGGGTTGCGGCGCTCATCTCATTTTATTGGCCGAGGGAGCCAGCGTACAGCTTCTGGGTCATGTGGCCAGCATGACTAAGCCACTTCTGGCGAACCAGAGCAGTGCATGGAAACACCGTTTACCTTCCCGCCGGAGCTGTACCTATATATCTACTTGCACTTTGACATGCTTTCGAACTGCTAGGTTGGCAGGAGCAGGGACCGAGCAATGGGAGCTCACCCCGTCGCGATATACAAGTCTGATATACATATAAGACTACTTCTACAACCTCAGTGGTGACATACTTAATGCCAAGATGGAGGCTAGGAACTGTCTTTTCTGCCAGGCACATTAAACAGTTGTTGTCATTCTGTGTCCAAATATTGGATCAATATCGAAACTGGTCTTTTCTCTTCAGTGCCCTCCCCCCCCAGCTCCACTGAGTGCAAATGAGGACCTTTAAGTATCATCAGCCCTGAGCCAGTAAGTGCTAAAGTCAATGAGGTCATCAGTACAGACGAGTAATTGCCATCACCAGATTCCCCCAAACTAGTAAGAGATTGGTTTGGGTAACTCTCCTTTCAGGTCTTGGGCTGCTCACTATACGATCCTTATGCTTTCTAACCTACATAGCACTTGCCAGTTGTGGCACATTTAAAAAGACTGGCTGGGGTCAAAATACAGCCAGTCTTTAATTATTGAATGCCTAGCAGATGAGAAAGCTCCTGTCATTCATCCTCTCATTCGGCCAATTTAGCAACAAGAACGAAATACTACCATTCAGCCCCAACTGGGAACTGATGGATCCTGCCTTGTTTGAAGCTAGAAGGAGAAGGCCAGATACTGCCATGCCAAACAGAGGTCTAGAGAATGGTGCCACCATGCCCATCCCAACTGTCCACAGAGGCAGCACTGAGAACATGCTGCACAATTTACACCTCCAAAAGATTAAAGTAAAAGCATCTTCTGTAAAGTTCAAAGATACACATAAAAAGGTTGCATCCACATTACACATGACCTCCTACATTAAAACAATGGGTTAAGCATTGCATCCAATGCTCAATTAAATACCAACAATTTGATCAGTGAAATTCAATCCTCACTGTTATATGAAACAGGGAAACTCTAGATCTGAACCATGATGTCAAAGTACTTTGTACAATGTTCTTCAACATGAACCACAATTAGCCTACTCAGACTTCAGCAAGATCCCTAGTAGATTAAATCCCTTGCAGATTAAAATCATTTTAGACCTAGTGAAACCATATCATATTATCTTAAATCCAGGTAGCTAAAACGCAGTACTGGTGAAAAATGATACATTATACTCCAATAATTGAATGTTGTAGTTGACCATTCTTGATTTAAAAGGAAAGAAAGAAGGGGACTATGATTATAAAGTAGAAGCACCAGCACATTGCTCCCATCCCATGTCATTAAATGAGAAGAAAATAATTATCTTCCTCATTTACTATATTATTTAATGTTCAAGCTACTTATGCTGGAAAGCTGAAATACAATCGTACTTTAGATCCCGAACACCCTGGAACTCGGACGTTTTGGCTCCCGAATGCCGCAAACCCGGAAGTGATTGTTCCGGTTTGTAAACATTCTTTTGGAACCCAAATGTCTGATGGGGGTTCTGAGACTTCTGATTGGCTGCAGAAGCTTCCTGCATCCAATCAGAAGCAACAATTTGGTTTTCAAACATTTTGGAAGTCAAACAAACTTCCGGAACGGATTCTGTTCGACTTCCAAGGTACGACTGTACAACCTGGGAGTAAGCCCTATTGAACTCAGTAGCATACACCTCTGCCATACAGAAAGAAGTGCACCTCCTCAATGACATAATAAAAACGTCGGCACATTCCACACCCACTCATAAGATTAAATGAGCAATATATATACCCATCTTACTTTATTCAATTTCATGTTCCCACTATTCAAATTCCAAAGCTTAAATCCTAAGCACTCTTACCTGAGAGAAAGTCACACTGAATTCAAGAGGACTCACATCTGGGTAGATATGGCTAGGATTGAACTGGAAATCTCAAAATGCAATGGAGAAAATAGACTACACCTGCAACAGGTAGTTTAGCCTCAGCTGTTTACTATATATAAAGAAGATGATTATTCATGAATCTAGATGGAAAATTAACTAAAGACTGAAAAATTAAAAGGCAGGTATATATGCTGTATAAAAGGTTGTATTGCAATGTCACTTAAAGGTAAAGAACTACAGAGTGTACCACACATGTAAATACAGAGAACAAATCTTACCTCTTCACCATTAGCCATCTCAGAATGAAAATTGTTTCCACTGTTGCCTGTAAAAGGCACAGCAGGTTTCTCACTGCCAAGAATATTGTCTACCATCTGAACACTGGGTGTCAGGAAGGCAAACTCATTCTTCCTGGTCTCAGAAGACAGACACAGCTTGTAGGAATAGGGCAAAGTCCCATCTTCAAAGTTGGGTGGGAAGATGGCACCATTCTTGGAATGGGGAACAGGACCAAAGCACTGTAGGAACCTGGGATGCCCTGATTGACGGAGCTTCATTGTAACGGCCAGAATCACAGGTCAAGAGGAACAAGAAGGAGATCACAGCTAAGGCCAGCACCAAGTAGAACTGCAGGTCAGACTGATACTCTGAGCTGCTGGGTTGGCTCTTCATTTCCGGAAGGGCCTCCTGAAAGTTCTCAGCAAACACCAGGTTCAGAGTCATGGTGGCCGAGAGAGACGGCTGCCCGTTATCCTTCACCATAATGACCAGTCTCTGTTTCACAGCGTCTCTCTCCACAAAGGCCCTGGCTGTTCTGATCTCTCCAGTATGAGAACCAACCGTGAAGAGTGCCGGCTCAGTGGCCTGAGTCAGGTGGTAGGAGAGCCAGGCGTTGTGTCCAGAATCTGCATCCACGGCCACCACCTTGGTGACAAGATAATCTGCCTCGGCCGAACGAGGCACCATCTCAAACAAGGCTGAGCCCTTGGCTTCTTGTGAGGGGGACAGGATACAAGGGCTGTTATCATTTCGATCGAGAACAAACACCCTGACGGTCACATTGCTGCTGAGAGGGGGAGAACCCCCATCTTGGGCCTTCACTTGCAGCCGGAACTCTCTGAATTGTTCATAGTCAAAGGATCTCTGGGCATAGACGGTGCCGGTCTCAGAATTAATGGAGATATAGGAGGAGATGGGAAGCTCCTCAATGTTGCTGTTGAGGATGGAGTATGTGATCCGTGAGTTCTGGTCCATATCGGGATCAGAGGCTTTGATGGTGAAAATGGAGGCACCTGAAGGATTGTTTTCTGGCACATAGATAACATATGAAGATTTCTGAAATGTAGGGGCATTATCATTGATATCTGAAATCTGTAGTGAGATTGTTTTGTGTGTGGAAAGAGGTGGAGTTCCTCTATCAGTGGCTGTGATTGTAATATTGTATGCAGGAGCTATTTCTCTGTCCAAAGGGCTGACTGTCAGAAGTTTGTAGAAATTGTTAGATGAGGACATAATCTTGAAGGGCAGATCACTGTTTAAATAGCAGGTAACTTTTCCATTATCACCAGCATCTTTGTCATTTACATTGATCAGAGCAATTAAGGTTCCAGATGGTGAATCTTCAGGAACTGGGCTGAACATGGAGGTTAAGGTCACATCTGGGGCATTATCATTCTCATCAAGTACCCTTATCTCAATATTGGAATGAGTTGCCAATCCTCCACCATCTTTTGCAGCAACCGTCATAGTATATTCATCGTTCTCCTCAAAATCCAGTCGCTCCAAGAGGGTGATTATGCCACCAATGGGATCTAGACTGAATTTCTCTTGGGAAGTTGCTGGTATGTTGCTGAAATAATACCTGATTTGGGCATATGAACCTTCATCATCATCAGAGGCTATGACCTGGAGCACCGTGGATCCAATAGGAGCATTTTCACTCAAACTGACCTTGTACACCTCTTGAGTGAAAATGGGAGGGTTGTCATTGGCATCGGTGATATTAATCCGTATCTGGGCTGTTCCAGTTTTCCTAGGCTCACCCCCATCCATTGCGGTAAGTACTAAGTGAAGGGTCTGCTCTTTTTCCCGATCCAAAGATTTCTGCAACACCAATTCAGCATATTTATTTCCATCCTTTCTCTCTCTAACTTCCAAAATGAAGTACTGATTGGAGCTCAGCTGGTAATCCTGGAGAGAGTTCATCCCAATGTCAGGATCTTCCGCCTTCCCAAGGAGAAATCGAGTGCCTAGTAAAGTGGATTCAAGTATCTCTAAACTGATATTGCTATTCAGGAACTGGGGTGCATTATCATTAACATCCTGGATTTCTACTGTGACATGGAAAACATTCAGTGGGTTTTCTACTACAACTTCAAACTGAACAAAGCAAAGTGGATTTTTGCCACATATCCCCTCCCTATCAATCCTGTCATTTACATAGAGGTTTCCATTCTCTGCATTGATACTGAAATGCTGCATTTTAGCCACAGACACAGTGTGCAGATTGCGATGTTTTAGTTCTTTGGTGCTCAGTCCCAGGTCCTTGGCGAGGTTCCCCACAATGGAACCCTTTGCCATCTCCTCAGGGGTTGAATAATGAATCTGCTCTGATGCAGCCCAACAGGTAAAAGACAACAGAGAGAGAAGCAGTACTTGCCTTGTGAGTGCCCTGCCATTCCCTGTGTGCCTTCTCTCCATCTGGCTGGTTCTCTCAAAAACAGGCTGCTTCCTTTTCTCAGTTTCCTATGCTCAGGCTCTCACAATGATGAAGGAAACAACATGAGGTATCATTGAGGAAGAATAAACTGCCCTTGTTTTGTGCAAAGCAAAAGAGATTTTTCCTTCTCTGCAAGAGTTCCCTGTCTCTGTGCTCTTCAGTTGGCTTGATCTGAATAACACTGATGGGAGTTACTGCAGTCTAGGAAGCATCAATGGATCTCTATCCTCTCTCTGGCTCTCATACTGGCCAACACTGACACTTAGAGGACCACTCAAAGAATTGCAAGGAAAACCATGTTGTGCAATGTACAGTACTTTCCCTTTAGCAAATTTCAAGTTATTTGCTTTCAGTTTGTACACATTAAAGCAACAGCTCCTCTGATTGCTGCGTATAACAGCTCACAAGACTCAAAACCCAGTCTGGAGATATACAGCCTATTGAAAACATGTTTTGCCTTGATGTCTATCCCACTGAAATTGAACCCCGTTGAATGGAAGCTACATACCCAAGGGATCACCAGCAGAGCATTGCCTCACTTTAACATGCTTATAGTCGTTTGTCCGTCAGTCTATCACACAACATCAGGGCACACAATTCCTTTCATTAAAATGTAACAACATAAGAAGAGCCTTGATGGATCAGACCCAAGGTCTTTCTTATTAAGCAGCTTGTCTCCCACTGTGGCATCTGGAGGCATCTTGCTTCTACTACTTGACAGGATATAGTCAGCATGACTTGTGGCCACCATGAAGTTGTCTATAAGGCATCCAAGTTAGTGGCCATCACAGCTTTTGTGGGAGCAATTCCCATAAGTTATTTATTTATTAAAATGTGTAAAGTATGTGTGATTGTTCTGTATAAATAAAAATAATGGCTGGATACAAGTTTCAATAGTTTTATATTATACACTCAAAGAAAGCATACTGATTTATAAAGTTTCTAACAGTGTGTGTGCGTCTGTATTATCTTGAACCTTATTGTGCAAATTAAGTATGAAAATGTTGTATTTTTCCACAACAATGTTATCAGTCTCCGCACTCTGACTCTTACCATATTCATTAGTTTAACGATAGATAAAATATCCCATACTCTAATAATCCACTCCTGTAAAGCTGGTGTTCTTAACCACACACTCCACTCAACTTATACCAAATAGTTGTTCTTGCTATAGTTAATAAGTCTTGGACTAATACTCTGCTAGTATTAAACCCTTAATACAACTGAATAAAACAATCAGAATAACCGTTGATAAAGTGTATCCTGTTATTATTTCAGCTTCCCTTATTATATCTACCTGGAACCTTTCATTTCAGGACATGCCCCACAAAAATGTTGCATCCTAGCATTGGTTGCCTTGCACCTCCCACTTAAATTACTTGCTGTCCTGTAGATGTGGTTGAAATGTGGCACTGGAAGGACCAGCTCTCTCATATCGCTTTTCCCTTGTCTTTGATCTAAACTAAATATTGTTAAGCATTGCATTTTTCCCCCGAATAAAGAAGTTGACCATCTTAGTTGCCCTTTTCTGAGCATTCTGCATTTCATACAAGTTCTTTCTACATGAATCTTCCAGAGAAGTTCAAAACACTCCAAAAGATCTACTATGAACAAATAGGAAGCATTCATGTTTTACACATTTTTCAGTTAACTCAATCAGAACAGGATGAATAAACTATGTGAGTGAACGAAGTAAAAATCCACATATCTAACCTCTAGGAGGAACTAAAAAATAACTACTGTATATAATGATGGTGATATTTCAATAATCTACAGGAAGAAAATTACTAGAAGGAAGAACAGGATATAAATTCCATAATTAATGAAGACTCACCTGAACATCATTTTCAGTCTCAGCACTGAATTTGCCTCTGTCATTGCAATTTGTAGACCACTTGTAAAAAAAGTTTTCTACAGTCTGAACAGCTGGTGCTAGTAATATAATATTTTTTTTAGTTCTCTCATTTAGTAAATCAGGCAGTTAAGAGGAAGACAGCTAAAAATACTAGTTTTGCTCATACAAGAACAAGGTTGTGGTGCCAACACCTCAGTTTCTGAAAGCAAAGCTTACCTGCTCACCAACCTCCTCTTTGGCATTGGCATCCCCACAGTTGCCATCCACAAGAACCACCTGAGAACTATCATTGCATAACAAGTTTTCTGCCACCTGGATATGGGATTTTGGGAAAGAGATCTGCTCTTTCCTCATCTCTGACGATAGACAGAGTTGGTAGGAATAAGGTAAAGTTCCTTCTTCATAGTTTGGTGGAAATATGACCTGTGCCTTAGAAAAAGCATTAGGTTCAAAGCATTGGAATAATTTGGGATTTCCTGATTGTCGAAGTTTCATGACAATGACCAGTATCACCGTCAGGAGGAATAAAAATGAGATCAATGCCAAAGCCAGCACCAAGTAAAACTGGAGGTCAGAATGATGCTCTGTGTCACTGGACTGCCTAGTCATTTCTGGAAGTGCCTCTTGGAAGTTCTCGGCAACCACAAGGTTGAGGACCACAGTAGCTGAGAGCGGAGCCTTCCCATTGTCCTTCACCAAGATGACCAGCTTCTGTTTCACAGCATCTTTCTCCAGAAGGGCTCGTGACATCCTGATCTCTCCCGTGTGGGTCCCAATGGTGAAGAGGGCCGGCTCTGTGGCCTGCAGCACTTGGTAGGAGAGCCAGGCATTGTGCCCAGAGTCCGCGTCCACAGCCACCACTTTGGTCACTAGGTAGCCTGGCTCTGCCGAGTGAGGAACCATCTCAAACAAGGCAGATCCCTCGGCGCCCGGGACAGGATACAGAACGCGAGGGCTGTTATCATTCTGATCGAAAATGTAAACCCACACGGTGGCGTTGTTGCTGAGAGAGGGAGAGCCGCCATCTTGGGCCTTCACTTGGATCTGAAACTCCCTGAACTGCTCATAGTCAAAGGAGCGCTGTGCATAGATAGTTCCTGTCTCAGAGTTGATGGAGACGTAAGAGGAGAGAGGTAGCTCCTCCATATTGCTGTTGAGGATGGAGTAGGTGATACGTGAGTTGCGGTCCAGATCCGGATCCGAGGCTTTGATGGAGAAAATGGAGGCACCTGAGGGATTGTTTTCAGGCACAAAGACACTGTAAGTTGATTTTTCAAAGGCAGGGCGATTGTCATTGATATCTGAAATCTGCAGGGAGATGGTTTTGTTGGAGGAGAGAGGGGGGCTACCTTTGTCGGTGGCCGTGATTGTGATGTTGTATCCTGAGGCTTTTTCTCTGTCCAATGGACTTTCTGTGAGGATTTTATAGTAGTTCTTAGTTGTTGACACTATTTTAAATGGTACATTACTTTGTAAGTGGCACGTAATTTTTCCATTTTCTCCAGAATCCCTATCCTTTGCGTTGATGAGAGCAATTACTGTCCCAGGAACAGAATCTTCAGGAATTGGACTGGATAAGGAGGCTAGAATGATTTCTGGAGCATTGTCATTCTCATCTATAATCTTTATATCAACATTAGAGTGAGCAACTAATCCTCCTCCATCTCTGGCTTCAACGGTCATAGTGTACTTTTCTGTTTCCTCAAAGTCAATGGCTTCTTTAATTGTAATTATTCCATTTTGTGGATTTAGGTCAAATTTTTGGTAGGCTCTTTCTGGAATATTACTAAATGTATAATGAATTTGGGCATTCACACCTTCATCCCTATCAGAGGCTTTTACTTGCAGTATGGGGGACCCCACAGTGGAATTTTCCCTCAGGCTAATTGTATAAACCTCTTGAGCGAAAACTGGTGGGTTGTCATTGGCATCTGTGACATTAATCCATATCTGGGCAGTCACAGTTTTTCTGGGTTCACCCCCATCCTGGGCCGTAAGGATCAACTGAAGGGAGTGATCATTTTCCCGATCCAAAGGTTTCTGCAGCACCAATTCTACATATTTATGGCCATCTTCTCTCTTTTGTATGTCTAGAATGAAATAGTGATTTGGACTTAGCTGGTAATTCTGGAGAGAATTAATCCCAATATCAGGATCTTCAGCTTTCCCAATATGAAATCTTGTACCTGGTAATGTGGATTCAACAATTTCAAGCCTCATGATTTCCTTTAAGAACTGTGGCACATTATCATTAATGTCTTGAATTGCTACAATAATATGGAAAACATTCAAAGGATTTTCAATCACAGCTTCAAAATTAATCAGACAGTGCACACTGTCCCCACATATTTCCTCACGATCTATCCTTTCATTTACATACAGGTTTCCATTTTCAGCATTGATAGTGAAATATGGCTTTTTACCTTCAGAAATGATATGCAGGTTTCTGCTCTTCAGTTCTCTGGCATTCAGTCCTAGATCCTTGGCAAGATTTCCCACCAAAGATCCCTTTGCCATCTCCTCAGGGATGGAATAGTGAACCTCTTCCAAAACTGCTCCACAGAACAAAGATGAAAATATCAGAAGTGTTATATACCTCCCTGATGTTTGAAAGCTCTCTCCATGAAGGATTCCTCTCATATTCATTTCCCTCTTTTCTTTGATGAGCACAGGATTTCAGATTTCCACCAAGACAGGAGATGTTTTTTTTGCCCAGTAAAAAAAAGAACTGGATCCTTTGGCTTAATTTGTATATGCTGCAGTGTTTTCTTTTTTCTTTCTCAGCTGAAATGTTTGTTCCAGCGTCTGCTGGTATTCCCGATGTGCAGTTTGGGACAAAGAGATCTCTCTGCAGAAAGCATCAGTGGAACTTCAGCTGCCCATGGATTGCCGCCTTGTCCAACAGTGACACTGTGAGTCTGAAGCAGAGAACTGCAATCTTTTCCCCAGTGATTTTTCTCCCCAATACATGTCACAGAAGGTCTCTGTTGGTGTTCATATGTGATGGCTCAAGGCAGGCTTTTAAACAGAATATGTGAACTTTCTTTACTAGCTTTAATTTTCACCCCAATCTTGATATTTTGCAGGTTAATTTTTTACTCTACGTTGATAGAGATATTTACACTTATTTCCAAGCTTATTAATTTGCAGTGCTGCTGACAAAAATGGAATTACAGGCTGCACAATTAAACGTTATCATTTATAGTATGGGACTATTAAGAAATTGAGGAAAATATATTATTGCCTATAGTTAGGCCTTCACATGAACCTTAGACACAATAATGTCTGCTTTTAGAGGTATGTATCTTCCTGTGTTTGAGTGCTTATGCTAAGGAGGCATCTTGTATTACATCGCTTATCACTGAAATTAGTCCCACATCTCATGCTTAGTTTTGTCATCTCGCATTAGTGCTCAAATTATTGGTCTATTTGTGTAGATATCCCCTTCAATAGATTTATTTAGCAGCTCTCAACTTTGACATTGTTCCCCCCACATCCATGTGCTCCAGTAATTTAGTCATGGTAGATAGCTTTCTGATTTCTAGTGTTAACTAAATTTACTGTGGAATGTGTGTTTCTGACCTTGCACATCTACTTCACAGTCTCACAGGTATGGCTCATCACCCTCTTTACACAGAACAATAACATTTTAGGTTTTTCGTAAGCCAATATGTAAGGGATCCTGAGTATGCAGCTTGAATCACACACACACACACACACACACACACACACACACACACACACACACGAGTTAACTTCCTCTGCATGGCCTGGACTGGATGGCCTCCACTGGTTTCCACCCACAAAGTGATGTTAGTGCCACTCTGCTGGTGCATAATTGCCCATTGTTAGCAGACCTTTCAGCATGACTCAGATTGGAATAATCACTTTCAATTTCTGGAGTTCAAATGCTTCATTCATGCAGAAACTATCTACAGGATGAATAGTGATGAGAGAGAGAAACAGAAGACATCTTATCTCAACAGGTTGGGAGACAACAACAAAATCGCTCAGCTTTTAGGGGTGAGGTTAACTTAGACATAATAGATACAAACAAGTGCTCACTAGATTGTTACACAATCAAGGATTAATTATAAATTATTAGCAGATGACATCCAATTGTCTTACGGACTACACTCTGGATTTCTGTAGGGGATAGCCTGCAAGGCAGCAGAGTTTTGGATCAGAGTTTTCCTTCTCCTAAATGTGTTACCTTCCCAGGTTGAAGAGGAAGTGATCTGCCACTCACTTCCCTCTACGGCATGTGCAGTAACCACCTTCTTGATTGCTGAACCCACTATTATTTTGTCTGCTCAATCCACCAGAACTTGTCTTCACATGCAGAGAAAGTCCCTAACTCACTGAGGGTTTGAGACCCATCAGCTACCCTCGCTTGCTTTAGCCAGTCAGTCAAAGTCATATCCCAGGATGTGACCACTGCCATAGTGCCTGTGTGCATGGTGGGGACCAAAGACAGACAAACTACCTCAGAAGTAGGATGATGTTTCTCCTTTGATGCCCACCCGCCAAGGTCCAAGTATTAGATCAATACTGAAACTGGTCTTTTCTCTTCAGTGCCCTAGCCCTCAGCTCCACTGAGTGCAAATGAAGACCATTAGGTATCATCAGCTCTGAGCCAGTAAGTGCTACAGTCAATGAGGTCATCAGTGTTGTTGTTGTTTAGTCGTTTAGTCGTGTCCGACTCTTCGTGACCCCATGGACCAGAGCACGCCAGGCACCTCTGTCCTCCACTACTTCCCGCAGTTTGGTCAGACCCATGCTGGTAACCTCGAAAACACTATCCAACCATCTCGTCCTCTGTCGCCCCCTTCTCCTTGTGCCCTCCATCTTTCCCAGCATCAGTGTCTTCTCCAGGGAGTCTTCTCTTCTCATGAGGTGGCCAAAGTACTGGAGCCTCAGCTTCACGATCTGTCCTTCCAGTGAGCACTCAGGGCTGATTTCCTTAAGAATGGATGCGTTTGATCTTCTTGCAGTCCATGGGACTCTCAAGAGTCTTCTCCAGCACCATAATTCAAAAGCATCAATTCTTCGGCGATCAGCCTTCTTTATGGTCCAGCTCTCACTTCCATACATCACTACTGGGAAAACCATGGCTTTAACTATACGGACCTTTGTTGGCAAGGTGACGTCTCTACTTCTCAAGATGCTGTCTAGGCCTGTCATTGCCCTTCTCCCAAGAAGGAGGCGTCTTTTAATTTCGTGGCTGCTGTCACCATCTGCAGTGATCATGGAGCCCAAGAAAGTAAAATCTCTCACTGCCTCCATTTCTTCCCCTTCTATTTGCCAGGAGGTGATGGGACCAGTGGCCATGATCTTCGTTTTTTTGATGTTGAGCTTCAGACCATATTTTGCGCTCTCCTCTTTCACCCTCATTAAAAGGTTCTTTAATTCCTCCTCACTTTCTGCCATCAAGGTTGTGTCATCTGCATATCTGAGGTTGTTGATATTTCTTCCGGCAATCTTAATTCCAGCTTGGGATTCATCCAGCCCAGCCTTTCGCATGATGTATTCTGCATATAAATTAAATAAGCAGGGAGACAAAATACAGCCATGTCGTACTCCTTTCCCAATTTTGAACCAATCAGTTGTTCCATATCCAGTTCTAACTGTAGCTTCTTGTCCCACATAGAGATTTCTCAGGAGACAGATGAGGTGATCAGGCACTCCCATTTCTTTAAGAACTTGCCATAGTTTGCTGTGGTCGACACAGTCAAAGGCTTTTGCATAGTCAATGAAGCAGAAGTAGATGTCTTTCTGGAACTCTCTAGTTTTCTCCATAATCCAGCGCATGTTTGCAATTTGGTCTCTGGTTCCTCTGCCTCTTCTAAATCCAGCTTGCACTTCTGGGAGTTCTCGATCCACATACTGCTTGAGCCTTCCTTGTAGAATTTTAAGCATAACCTTGCTAGCGTGTGAGATGAGTGCAATTGTGCGGTAGTTGGAGCATTCTTTGGCACTGCCCTTCTTTGGGATTGGGATGTAGACTGATCTTCTCCAATCTTCTGGCCACTGCTGAGTTTTCCAAATTTGCTGGCATATTGAGTGTAGCACCTTAACAGCATCATCTTTTAAAATTTTAAATAGTTCAGCTGGAATACCATCACTTCCACTGGCCTTGTTATTTGCAGTGCTTTCTAAGGCCCATTTGACTTCACTCTCCAGGATGTCTGGCTCAAGGTCAGCAACCACACTACCTGGGGTGTACGAGACATCCATATCTTTCTGGTATAATTCTTCTGTGTATTCTTGCCACCTCTTCTTGATGTCTTCTGCTTCTGTTAGGTCCTTACCACTTTTGTCCTTTTTTTTAATTGCCATTACCAGATTCCCCCAAACTAGTAAGAATGCCATGAAGGTTGGTTTGGGTAACTGTCCTTTCAGGTCTTAGGCTGCCCACTATAGGATCCTTTTGCTTTCTAACCTACATAGCACTTGCCAGTTGCGGCACATTTAAAAAGAATGGCTGGGGTCCAATTACAGCCAGTCTTTAATTATTGACTGCCTAGCAGATGAGAAAGCTCCTGTCATTCACCCTCTCATTCGGCCAATTTAGCAACAAGAATGAAATACTACCATTGAGCCCCAACCAGGAACTGATAGATCCTGCCTTGTTTGAAGCTAGAAGGAGAAGGCCAGATACTGCCATGCCAAACAGAGGCCTAGAGAATGGTGCCACCATGCCCACCCCAACTGTCCACATAGGCAGCATTGAGAACATGCTGCACAATTAACGCCTCCGAAAGATTAAAGTAAAAGCATCTTCTGTTGAGTTCAAAGATACACATATAAAGGTTGCATCCACATTACACATGACCTCCTACATTAAACAATGGGTTAAGCATTGCATTCAATGCTCAATTAAATACCAACAATTTGATCACTGAAATTCAATCCTCACTGTTATATGAAACAGGGAAACTCTAGATCTGAACCATGATGTCAAAGTACTTTGTACAATGTTTTTCACAATTGTTCACAGAGGCAGCATTGAGAACATGCACAACAATTTATATCTCCATACGATTAAAGCAAATGCATCTTCTGTGGAGTTCAAAGATGCACAAAAAAAGGTTGCATCCACATTACAGATGAAGTCCTGTATTAAAATAATGGGTTACATGTTGCAGCCAATGTTCAATTAAATGCCAACAATTTAAGGAGAGGAACCCAATTCTTGCTATTGAATGGAACAGGGAAATTCTGTATCTGAACCACTGTGTGTGTGTGTGTGTGTGTGTGTGTGTGTGTGTGTGTATTACAATGATCTTCAATATAAACTATAGGCAACCTATTCAGACTTGTAAATATGAGCAGCCTATTACTAGATTAAAATCAATTTATAACATAAATCCAGATTGCTACAGCTCACTACAGGTTAAAAACGATACAGATACACTATATTGGGTGATAATAATAATAGTATAGTAATACTAATAACTGCAATAGCAATAGCAATAGCAATAACTCGGTGAATGTTGTAGTTGTCCATTCTTGAGTCAAATTGATGCCAAAAAACACAAGGTACTTAGATCATCATGTCACAACGTACTTTATGCAAGGTATACATGTGCGTTGTGTGTGTATGTGTGTAACCAACCCCCCCCCCCGAACAAATCTTGAAAAAAAGAGATTTATAACTAGCCTAGCTTTAGGGAGATTTAAGTAAATCATAAGCCCCCTCCATGCCATTTTTATTGTGACTCATGATGATGTATGAATGCTTATTTTGTTTTTGGTTCTTTGTTAATGTTCTTGATATTGTTTTGTGGACAATGAGAGCTGTAATGCTTTGTGATTTTTATAATATGACTTTAGCCTATTTTTAAACTTGTTTTGTTAAAAGTGTATTTTAAAAGGTGGTTGTTTTACTTTACTGATGATTTGTTTGTTATCTTATATGATTTTTATTGTGCTTGTGATGTTCTAGTGTTATTATTTATGGTACAATAATCCGCTTTGTGACTAATGTGAGTGAGTGTCCCATATCTTCCTCCTGAAATCCTGCAACTTTTTATAACACCAATGCTCTGGTTTATTCTTTGTCCCGCTTTCATTATACAGTAGTGCCCCTACAAATGGCAATAGTTTAACTAGCAAGTAGTGATATTTTTCATGTAAGTTTATGTAAATCTTATTACCTAGTTTAGATTTTGTTACCTCGCTCTGTGCAATGACAGCTGTTCTCTTAAAAATTGCAATAACACTGGGGAGGCAGCTCAAAACAACTAATAAAGAAGAATGATGTGTGGACAATCCAGTATACATTGACTATTAATACACTATTATTGTGTCAAATGTTGAAGAACAAAACAAAGAACAAAAAATTGCAATATCCCCTGAAAGTAGTATGTACTTATAAGCAAAAGTATGCATATCACTGATGATATTTTCTGCCAACAGAAAGAAGCGTATTTCCTTGATTATATAGTAAAAAAAATGACATACTCCAAGCCACGTGCCATAAAAGGAGCACAAAAACCTCACTTCTTATCATTTAATATTAAATTTATTTAAGCACTAAAGCTGAAATCGTAAGCCATCTTCCCTGGAAGTAAGCCTAGTTGAATTCAATACAACTACTGGGTAGATATCCTTGGGATTGAACTGTCAATATAAAACAAAATAGAAAATGGAATACCCCAACTGACTACGAAATGGCTAATTGCACCAGGTGGTTTAGTCTCATCTACTTAGACTAGATAGGAAAGATGATGACTCATGAGGGCATTTATATTGCAAGCTGCCATGTGATCTTTGGATGAAAGGCAGAATAGAAAGCTAATAAATAATTAAAATGAACATAAAAAACAAAATAAAGACCCACCTATTAATTTCTATATGAAAAACTAACCAAAGGCTGAAAAAGGCAGGTACACTTGCAGTATAAAAGGCTGTATTGAAATGTCACTTAACGGTAAAGAACTACAGAGTGTACCATGCATGCAACTGCAGAGAACAAATCTTACCTCTTCACCATTAGCCTTTTCAGAATGAAAATTGTCTCCAATGTTGCCTGTAAAAGGCACAACAGGTTTCTCACTGCCAATAATATTGTCTACCATCTGAGCACTGGGTGTCAGGAAGGCAAACTCATTCTTCCTGGTCTCAGAAGACAGACACAGCTGGTAGGAATAGGGCAAAGTCCCATCTTCAAAGTTGGGTGGGAAGATGGCACCATTCTTGGAATGGGGAACAGGACCAAAGCACTGTAGGAACCTGGGATGCCCTGATTGACGGAGCTTCATTGTAACGGCCAGAATGACAGTCAAGAGGAACAAGAAGGAGATCACAGCTAAGGCCAGCACCAAGTAGAACTGCAGGTCAGACTGATACTCTGAGCTGCTGGGTTGGCTCTTCATTTCCGGAAGGGCCTCCTGAAAGTTCTCAGCAAACACCAGGTTCAGAGTCATGGTGGCCGAGAGAGACGGCTGCCCGTTATCCTTCACCATAATGACCAGTCTCTGTTTCACAGCGTCTCTCTCCACAAAGGCCCTGGCGGTCCTGATCTCTCCAGTATGAGAACCAACCGTGAAGAGTGCCGGCTCAGTGGCCTGAGTCAGGTGGTAGGAGAGCCAGGCATTGTGTCCAGAATCTGCATCCACGGCCACCACCTTGGTGACAAGATAATCCGCCTCGGCCGAACGAGGCACCATCTCAAACAAGGCTGAGCCCTTGGCTTCTTGTGAGGGGGACAGGATACGAGGGCTGTTATCATTCCTGTCAAGAACAAACACCCTGACGGTCACATTGCTGCTGAGAGGGGGAGAACCCCCATCTTGGGCCTTCACTTGAAGCCGAAACTCTCTGAATTGTTCATAGTCAAAGGATCTCTGGGCATAGATGGTGCCAGTCTCTGAATTAATGGAGATATAGGAGGAGATGGGAAGCTCCTCGATGTTGCTGTTGAGGATGGAGTATGTGATCCGTGAGTTCTGGTCCACATCGGGATCAGAGGCTTTGATGGTGAAAATGGAGGCACCTGAAGGATTGTTTTCTGGCACATAGATGTTGTAGGATGGTTTCTGAAATGTAGGGGTATTATCATTGACATCTGAAATCTGTAGTGGGATCGTTTTGTGTGTGGAAAGAGGTGGAGTTCCTCTATCAGTGGCTGTGATTGTAATATTATATGCAGGCGCTATTTCTCTATCCAAAGGACTGTCTGTCTGGAGCTTGAAGTAATTGTTTGATGAGGGAAGAACTTTGAAGGGTAAATCATCCTGTAAATAGCAAGTAACCTCCCCATTATCTCCACTATCTCTGTCATTTACATTGATCAGAGCAATAACTGTCCCTGGCAGAGAATCTTCAGGAACAGGGCTGAACATGGAGGCTAAGGTCACATCCGGGGCATTATCATTCTCATCATGAACCCTTAGCTCAATGTTAGAATGTGTCATCAAGCCACCTCCATCTTTTGCAGCAACTGTCATTGTATATTCATCGTTGTCCTCAAAATCCAGTTGCTCCAAGAGGGTGATTGAGCCACTGATGGGATCCAGCTTGAATTTCCGTTCGGCAGTTGCTGGTATGTTACTAAAATGATACCTGATTTGGGCATATAAACCTTCATCCTTATCAGAGGCTGCAACCTGGAGAACAAGTGACCCAACAGGAACATTTTCAGATAAACTGACCTTGTACACCACTTGAGTGAAAACAGGCGGGTTGTCATTGGCATCAGTGACATTAATCCATATATGAACAGTCCCAGTTTTCCTAGGCTCACCCCCATCCATAGCGGTAAGAACCAAGTGAAGGGTCTGTTCACTTTCTCGATCAAGAGGTTTCTGTAGCACCAGTTCTGCATATTTATTTCCATCTTTTCTCTCTCTAACTTCCAAAGTGAAGTACTGATTGGAGCTCAGCTGGTAATCCTGGAGAGAGTTCATCCCAATGTCAGGATCTTCTGCTTTCCCAAGGAGAAATTGTGTGCCTAGCAGAGTGGATTCAAGGATCTCTAAATTGATATTGCTATTCAGGAATTGTGGTGCATTATCATTAACATCCTGGATTTCCACTAGTACGTGAAAAATATTCAAAGGGTTTTCTACCACAACTTCAAAATTAACAAAGCAATGTGGATTTTTGCCACATATCCCCTCCCTATCAATCCTGTCATTTACATAGAGGTTTCCATTCTCTGCATTGATACTGAAATGCTGCATTTTAGCCACAGACACAGTGTGCAGATTGCGATGTTTCAGTTCTTTGGTGCTCAGTCCCAGGTCCTTGGCGAGGTTCCCCACAACGGAACCCTTTGCCATCTCCTCAGGGGTTGAATAATGAATCTGCTCTGATGCAGCCCAACAGGTAAAAGACAAGAGAGAGAGAAGCAGTACTTGCCTTGTGAGTGTCCTGCCATTCCCTGGGTGCCTTCTCTCCATCTGGCTGGTTCTCTCAAAAACAGGCTGCTTCCTTTTCTCAGTTTCCTATGCTCAAGCTCTCACAATGATGAAGGAAACAACATGAGGTATCACTGAGGAAGAATAAACTGCCCTTGTTCTTATATTTGTGCAAAGCAAAAGAGATTTTTCCTTCTCTGCAAGAGTTCCGTCACTGTGCTCTTCAGCTGGCCTGCTCTGAATAGCAGGGATGGGAGTTACTGCAGTCTAGGAAGCATCAATGGATCTCTATCCTCTCTCTGGCTCTCATACTGGCCAACACTGACACTTAGAGGAGCACTCAAGGAACTGCATTTTGTTCTATGAAAATAGACAGGGGTGAATAAATGCATGTGTTTCTCCAGCACATACTGTACCTTCCCTTCTGCTCACTGAGTGGAGCATTTGAGAAAGCTTTTCCTTGGTGTTCTTTCTTAGTGTACAGCTACCCGCATTTATGTTCGTGGCTTTTCAGTACTGTGAAAATTGGGTTCATATCTGATACTGCAATTACATGAAGGTTATACACATCTTCATTTTTTTTTGGAAACATGGAAACATTATTATTAATATGTAAATATCCAGTTACATAGTAAAACCTTATCTTAAAATTAATGTATTACGATAATAGTTACGCTATAGTAGCACAAGAGCTGTAAGTCAACTGTATTTTTGTTGTTGTTGCTTAAATAGAATATAAACACCCTATTGAAATTATTCTCTTTTTTATCTCTCCTAAGTTGTTGGATGTCTATCAACATTTATGGAACAGAGTACAAGTTCTTCTCAGTGTTGGGTAGGAATTCCAAGAGTAACTTACTATTCCAAGAGTTCTCTCTCTGTCTGTTGAAGATAAGATGCAACACTTGCAGCTTCTGTCTAGACAGCACTAGGTAATAAAAGTGTGTTCGCTGGTATTGGTTCTACATCAGACTCTGCCACCTGCCTCCTACCTGCTGGTGTCATACAAATGTCCTTGCTTAGCAGTTGCTCCCCTGTGATCAAAGCAGGAAGACAGCACAAGTGTAGGACCAATGGCTGTAGCTGCTCTACCAGCAGTAAAAAAAGGTAAAGGACCCCCGGATAGTTAAGTTCAGTCAAAGGCGACTATGGGGTGGCGGCGCTCATCTCTCTTTCAGGCCAAGGGAGCCGGCATTTGTCCACAGACAGCTTTCCAGGTCATGTGGCCAGCATGACTAAACAGCTTTTGGCACAACGGAACACCTTGACGGAAGCTAGGCATGATCCAACAGGATAAAATGTTTGTTGGCACTTTACATGTGAGCTCATATTATGATAATAGCATCATGAAGTTTGGGAACTGAGAACAGTGGAGAGACAAGAGGTGTTAGAAGAAATCAATAGTGTCTAATTGAAAGAGTACAGTGGTGCCTCGCAAGACGAAATTAATTCGTTCCGTGAGTTTTTTCGTCTAGCAATTTTTAGTCTTGCGAAGCACGGTGTCGGAAAAGTTTTGGAAAAGCTTCAAAAATCACCAAAAACCTCAAAAAAGGCTACCACACCGCATTCTATGAGTTGCTCCTCGAAGTCAAGTCGCAACTGTATTAACGGTGTTAAGAAAAAGGAAACAAACTTGCAAGACGTTTTTGTCTTGCGAAGCAAGCCCATAGGGAAATTCGTCTTGTGAAGCAGCTCAAAAACCGCAAAACCCTTTCGTCTAGCGAGTTTTTCGTCTTGCGAGGCATTCGTCTTGCGGGCACCACTGTATATGATAGAGGTTTTATTAGAAACTAACTAAAGTAATTTACTTTCAGTTTGTACGCATTAAAGGTAATATTGCTTTATAGAATATTGCTTTATAGAAGATAACATTGCTTTATAGAACAGCCTTTATTGCTCCATAGAACAGCCTCCAGGACCATAAACCCAATGTGGAGATGTGTATGCTATTCAAATATTTTTGCCTGCCACATATCCCCTTGAAACTGGAACCCCACTGAACAGAACTGACATTTCCAAGTGATCACAACCAGAGTGCTGCCTAATTTTCAACATGCTTCTAGTTTTTCATCTGCTAGTCTATCACACAGAAACATTGCACACAATTCTATTTCATAAAAACATAAGAAGAGCCCTGCTGGATCTGGCCAGAGCTCTATTGAGTCCAGCATCCTTTCTCCCACTGTGGCCAACCAGATGCCCCTCAAAAGCTCTGCCCTTGGTCCACATTCAGAGGTGTCTGGTACTAGACATAATATAGCCAATGTGACAATGATTTTTTCTAATCCCCCTTTAAAACCACCCAAGTAGGTGACCATGATTGCAACTTGTGATAATGATTTCCATTGTTTGTTTGTTTAAATAAGTAAATTATTTAGAAATGGTTTATATAAAAACAAAATGGCTAGGCATACAATTATCATTAAATTCCTATTATGAAATCAAATAAAGCATATAGCCTTCATAAAGATCCAAATAAAGTATGTGGGTCTGCGTTATCTTGAACTTCATTGCACCAATAAATTATGAAAAAACACACTGAAAGTTATCAGACTGCCTCCTCTCTCTGATTCTTACTGTATTAATTATTTGAACCATTGATAAAATATTCCATGCTGTAGTAATCCATTCCCCTAAAGCTGGTGTTCTTAGCCAATGCCCTCAGTTATAACAAATAGTTGCTCTGGCCACAGACAGTAACTGTTGGAGTAATTATCTGTCTTCTGTTTTACTAAATCCTTAAAATAACTAGATAAATCAATGAGAGGATCCATTGGCAAATTGCATCCTGTCATTATTCCATTTTCTCTTATTATATCCACCCACAAATTCTTAATTTAGGGACATGTCTCCCAAATATGTTGCATCCTAGCATTGGTTGAATTGTACTTCCAACATAATTTTTGCTGTGCTATAAATTTGACCAAACTGTGGGAGGAAGTGGAAGGCAGGAGCAGTGGCGTAGCGTTGGGGGGTGCAGGGGGGGCCAGCCACACGGGCGCAACATCTGGGGGTCTAGGCAAATCCATGGGTTAGGGGGCGCCAAATCCACGGGCTTAGGGGCGCCAATTACTTGCCTTGCCCCTGGTGGCTGAAAACCCACGCTACGCCACTGGGCAGGAGTGCCTGGCAATGCGTCTGTCCATGGGGTCACAGCAAGTAAAGGACACGACTAAACAACTAAAACAACACCACCAAAATGTGACGAAAGCCACAGTAGTGTCATGTACCATAAAAAATAACATATATAAGTGTTTCTTAAGATTCAACTAAATGTTTGCTGGCCATATCCATTTTCACTGATCTGATGTCCCAGACTTCTCTGGCAATTACTTTGTTGCATTTAGTTGTCAACAAGGAATTCCATAGTTTAACTATGCATTGTATGAAGAAGGTCTTCCCTTTATCTGTTCTGAATCTCCCAATGTTCAGCTTCACCCAATGGCCACAGGCTCCGGTAATATGGGGGAGAGGGATCTCTCTATTCATTTTCTCAACCTCGTTCATAATTCTATACAGCTGTCTCACTTCCCTTCTTGTAATTTATTTTATCTAAACTAAATATCCCTACAGAAGTTGTTGCACCCATGGATCATTTGGGACGCCTTTTTCTGTGGTTGCTGTTATTTCACACAACTTCTTTTTATGAATCCTCTAGAGAAGCCACACTCAGCCCAAAATTATACTACAAATAAACAGGAAGCATTCATGTTTTATGCATTCTTCAGTTAAGTTGATCATAACAGGACAAATAAACTGTGCTTTGTGTGAGTGAAAAAGTACAAATACTTATTTTTAATTGATGAGGGATGTATAAATAACTATATATTTATGGTGACATGATAATACCCCACAGGAAGATTGAACACTCAAGCTGTATGCATGCTTACATTTCCTTTAATTCCAGAGATGAAGACTCACTCTGCCATTATTGTATGATTCAGAATTTATTCTGTGTCTACCATTGCAATTTAAAAGGTACTTGTAGGAAAAGTTCTTCACTATCAGAACAACTGCTGCTAATACTGTAATTTGATTTTGCTGACACCCTTATATAGTAAAACAAAATAAAAAAATGAGTTTTATTCCTTTACGGTAAGGCTGTTTCTGAAAGCAAAGCTTACCTGCTCACCAACCTCCTCTTTGGCATTGGCATCCCCACAGTTGCCATCCACAAGAACCACCTGAGAGCTATCATTGCATAGCAAGTTTTCTGCCACCTGGATATGGGGTTTCGGGAAAGAGATCTGCTCTTTCCTCATCTCTGACGATAGGCAGAGTTGGTAGGAATAAGGTAAAGTTCCTTCTTCATAGTTTGGTGGAAATATGACCTGTGCCTTAGAAAAAGCATTAGGTTCAAAGCATTGGAATAATTTGGGATTTCCTGATTGTCGAAGTTTCATGACAATGACCAGTATCACCGTCAGGAGGAATAAAAATGAGATCAATGCCAAAGCCAGCACCAAGTAAAACTGGAGGTCAGAATGATGTTCTGTGTCACTGGATTGCCTAGTCATTTCTGGAAGTGCCTCTTGGAAGTTCTCAGCAACCACGAGGTTGAGGACCACAGTAGCTGAGAGTGGAGCCTTCCCATTGTCCTTCACCAGGATGACCAGCTTCTGTTTCACAGCATCTTTCTCCAGAAGGGCTCGTGACGTCCTGATCTCTCCCGTGTGGGTCCCAATGGTGAAGAGGGCCGGCTCCGTGGCCTGCAGCACTTGGTAGGAGAGCCAGGCATTGTGCCCAGAGTCCGCGTCCACAGCCACCACTTTGGTCACTAGGTAGCCTGGCTCTGCCGAGTGAGGAACCATCTCAAACAAGGCAGTGCCCTCAACACCCGGGAGAGGATACAGAATGCGAGGACTGTTATCGTTCTGATCCAAAATGTACACCCACACGGTGGCGTTGTTGCTGAGAGAGGGAGAGCCGCCATCTTGGGCCTTCACTTGGATCTGAAACTCCCGGAATTGCTCATAGTCAAAGGAGCGCTGTGCATAGATAGTTCCTGTCTCAGAGTTGATGGAGACGTAAGAGGAGAGAGGCAGCTCCTCCATGTTGCTGTTGAGGATGGAGTAAGTGATACGTGAGTTGCGGTCCAGATCTGGGTCCAAGGCTTTGATGGAGAAAATGGAGGCACCCGAGGGATTGTTTTCAGGTACAAAGACACTGTAGGTTGATTTTTGAAAGGCAGGGGGGTTGTCATTGATATCTGAAATCTGCAGGGAGATAGTTTTGTTGGAGGAGAGAGGGGGGCTACCTTTGTCGGTGGCCGTGATTGTGATGTTGTATTCTGAGGCTTTTTCTCTGTCCAAAGGACTGTCTGTAAGGATTTTGTAGTAGTTCTTAGATACAGATGCTATTTTAAATGGTACATTACTTTGTAAGTGGCAGGTCAGCTTTCCATTTTCTCCAGAATCTCTATCCTTTACGTTGATGAGAGCTATTACTGTTCCAGAAACAGAATCTTCGGGAATTGGAGAAGATAAGGAGGCTAGAATAATTTCTGGAGCATTGTCATTCTCATCTATAATCTTTATATCAACATTAGAGTGAGCCACTAATCCACCTCCATCTCTTGCTTCAACTGCCATTGTGTACTTCTCTGTTTCCTCAAAGTCAAAGGTCGCCTTAATTGTAATTGTTCCACTTTGTGGATCTAGTCTAAATTTCTCATACACTTTTTCTGGGACTTTACTGAATGTGTAATGGATCTGACTATTTGAACCTTCATCCCTATCAGAGGCTTTTACTTCGAGTATGGAGGACCCCACAGGGGAATTTTCCCTCAGGCTAACTGTATAAACCTCTTGAGTGAAGACTGGTGGGTTGTCATTGGCATCTGTGACGTTAATCAATATCTGGGCAGTCCCAGTTTTTTTGGGTTCACCTCCATCAAGAGCCGTGAGGATCAACTGAAGCGAGTGCTCACTTTCCCGATCCAAAGGTTTTTGTAGGACCAACTCTGCATTTTTATGGCCATCTAGACTGTGTTTAATTTCTAATACAAAGAACTGATTTAGGTTTAACTGATAATTCTGGAGAGAATTAATCCCAATATCAGGATCTTCAGCTTTCCCAAGAAGAAATCTAGCACCTGGCAATGTGGATTCAATTATTTCCAGTCTAATATTGGCTTCTAAGAATTGTGGGGCATTATCATTAATGTCCTGAATTGCTACACTTACATGGAAAACATTCAATGGATTTTCAACCACAGCTTCAAAATCTATAAGGCAGTGTGTGCTCTCTCTACACATTCCCTCACGATCTATCCTCTCATTCACATACAGGTTTCCATTTTCAGCATTGATAGTGAAATATGGCTTTTTACCTTCAGAAATGATATGCAGGTTTCTGTTCTTCAGTTCTCTGGCATTCAGTCCTAGATCCTTGGCAAGATTTCCCACCAAAGACCCCTTTGCCATCTCCTCAGGGATGGAATAGTTAACCTCTTCCAAAACTGCTCCACAGAACAAAGATGAAAATATCAGAAGTGTTATATGCCTTCCTGATGTTTGAAAGCTCTTTCCATGGAGGATTCCTCTTCTCTTCATTTTCCTCTTCTCTTTGATGAGCACAGGATTTCAGATTTCCCCCCAGTAAAAAAAGAACTGGATCCTTTGGCTTTGTATATGCTGCAGTGTTTTCTGTTTTCCAGCTGAAACGTTTGTTCTAGCGTCTGCTGGTATTCCTGATGTGCAGTTTGGGACAAAGAGATCTCTCTGCAGAAAGCATCAGTGGAACTTCAGCTGCCATTGGATTGCCGCCTTGTCCAACAGTGACACTGTGAGTCTGAAACCGAGAACTGCAATCTTTTCCCAGTGATTTTTCTTCCCTAATTCATGACATTACACAGTCATTTTTAAGTAATGACTCAGGCCATATTCTCATACAGGTTATTTGAATATGCCTGTTGGAAAGTGTTATCTGTTCACCATTACAATAGGTTAAAAGTAATCAGCTTCAAATTAATATTTACAGCAAAGAAAAAGCAGTAATGAATTTATAGCACTATTTCCACTATTTCTTTAGAAAAAATCAGAATAGCAGACTGCAGTATGAGAATGATATCGTTGATTATAATAAAAGACTTTTAAAGAAATTAGAAAAATATTGTATTAGGTATTTACAGGCATCTTAGACTGTGTGTGGAAAGCCTAAAGCCGTGTCTGAAAATTGTGTTTATCTTTACATAATTTCACTGAAAATAGTGCCACATCTCAAGTCCTATTCTGTCACCTTATGCCCACAGGATTTCTGGTGTTTGTGTAGCTTCCTCCTTCAACAGATGTACTGTGTCAGTATTTACCTTTGCCATTTTCCCCACCTGCCCATTTGTCCAGTTACGATAGACACTTTGCTGATTTCATTTAGTTTGTGGTGTGTGCTTTTGACCTTACACAACACCCCAGGTACTTCACAATATCACGGATATGGTTCATCCTCTCTACATATGCAAACAATATGGAGACCCCTATTTTGCCGGGGGATGGGATAGGACAAACAGAAATCTACTCAGAAATCTCTACAGTCCTTTCAGTATTTTAGGAAGTTACATGTGGTCTCCAGCTGTCAATGCAACTTCGTTTAATCAAGGAACCAAACTGCATACATAAGCCCTGGGTGTTATATGCTGGACCTCAAATGTTCTGAGCTTTCCCCTCCATTTTTAAACTTCTTTTTCTTTGTTTACTGAGCACACTGCAATTGTCAGTCATGGGCCTGTGCCCTAATTCCTTCCAGCAGCAAGCAACAACCCTGGCAAGAACATTCCTCCATCCTCACATCTGCCCTACTGGCCATGAGCCCAGCAGGGAGTTGGAGGGGGTTGCTCATTGCAGGCTTAAGTAACTCAAGTACCTGCTAAGATATCCCACAACGCTATGATCAGAAATACAGAAATTCAGTTATCCATCTGTTCATGTATTCATGTCATGTAAGCAGCATAGCTAACATGTTGGTAGAGCAGTTCAGGAATTCAACATGCTTCGTGAATATTGAGCTGGTCTCATGTGAAAAACTGTGAACCAGGAATTCCATGGTATGAATTTTGCCTCTGACAGGAACTCACTTATATAAGAATTCTAAGATAATGTGTCAAATCCAGACTCCATCATACTTAGAGTAGCCCCACTTAAAGAAATTTGACTTAAATTAGTCTTGTTTGACTAATTGGTCCAATGATAACTAATTCTGAATTTGACCCATTATATGCAATGCCCTTTGAAACTTATAAATATCATATACACAGTATCATTATTATTGTCTAAATCATGAGGCAGAAATACATGACGCAGGCAGGTAGCATTATTGAAAAAACTGACATGGAAATCGAAGATTGCAAGAGGCCAGGGGAAATATGATAACTTTTATGCAGTCTTGGATGACTTTATAGATTATACAAACAATGAGGCATGTGGCAGAACGGTGCCTTGGCATAACTGTCAACTTTTCCCTTTGCTTGCGAGGAATCCTATTTGGAATAAGGGAATTTCCCTTGAAAAAAGGGAAACGTTGACAGCTATGTGCCTTGGCCTACAGCACAGTTTGGTGAGCATGAAGCACATATTTTATTTTATTTTTCCTCCTTCCTCCTTGCCTTTGTATAATCCCTGCAGACCAGCACTGCTGCTGATACAATATATATTTGTAGTTGTGGACAACAGTCAAAGAGATGGAGGTTATTACGTACCATTTTGTTTCTGTTGGGATTGAAATGATTTTAGAATATACACTTTAGCAAAGCTCTGTGGAGTATTTGAAGATAACTCTCTGACTGTATGTAATTCTTTTATTTTTGTTTTAAATAAAATTTAAAAATAAATAAATAAATGCACAATGCATGTATTTAACAAAATATCCCACATTATCTGTCTGCCTATCTGTTTTTCAGACAGTTGTTTAGAAAGAGCTTTAATGCAATGTGGTTTCACTTAAAGGAATATGGGGGCTGAAATATCCACAATCTACTCTAGAAGGCCAGTCAGTCAGTCAGCCAGCCAATCAGTCTTGACTTGACTTTTTTTTACATCACTCATGCAGGAACACACATGCCTATGAATTTGATTTTATGGAGAAGGAAGTAAAGCATAATTTACAGACACCTCTCAAAAGCATATATCTTTAAAATCTATTGCTTTAAAAAATTGCTAGTAATACTAATAACAGTGATAGTATTTTCTGCTATATAGCAAGGTGCCCTCCTTTGATTCTACAGCCAAAATTTCTGCCCCCCCCCAAAGCCAAGTAATGTCAAAAGCAAAGTTCTTTTTAATGAAAGTAGTTGAAGGTCAACTCATCAAAATACTAGTTGTTCAAATGACAACAAGATAAGTTATACCAGATGGTTTCAAGGGCATGGCTCGAAGCTGCAATGTGTAGCTTCCCCATGGAGTGAAAAGGACGCATCCTGATTCATGAAAGCCAAATGATGTAAGAGCCAAACTATTCATTTATATGATGAAAAACAAAAAGGCAGTCACATTAGCTGGATAAAAAGCACTGTGACAATGTCACTAATGGCAAAGAATGATAGATAATGGCATTAAATATCAGAAACAAACCTTACCTGTTCTCCATTATCTACTGCAGAATCAAAATTGTTTCCTACATTGCCTGTAAAAGGAACACCAGGTTTCTCACTGCTAGGAATATTCTCTGCAATCTGTATATTTGGTGTCAGGAAGGCAAACTCATTCTTCCTGGTCTCAGAAGACAGACACAGCTGGTAGGAATAGGGCAAAGTCCCATCTTCAAAGTTGGGTGGGAAGATGGCACCATTCTTGGAATGGGGAACAGGACCAAAGCACTGTAGGAACCTGGGATGCCCTGATTGACGGAGCTTCATTGTAACGGCCAGAATGACAGTCAAGAGGAACAAGAAGGAGATCACAGCTAAGGCCAGCACCAAGTAGAACTGCAGGTCAGACTGATAGTCCAAGCTGCTGGGTTGCCTCTTCATTTCAGGAAGGGCCTCCTGGAAGTTCTCAGCAAACACCAGGTTCAGAGTCATGGTGGCCGAGAGAGACGGCTGCCCGTTATCCTTCACCATAATGACCAGTCTCTGTTTCACAGTGTCTCTCTCCACAAGGGCCCTGGCTGTCCTGATCTCTCCAGTATGAGAACCAACCGTGAAGAGTGCCGGCTCAGTGGCCTGAGTCAGGTGGTAGGAGAGCCAGGCGTTGTGTCCAGAATCTGCATCCACGGCCACCACCTTGGTGACAAGATAATCTGCCTCGGCCGAACGAGGCACCATCTCAAACAAGGCTGAGCCCTTGGCTTCTTGTGAGGGGGACAGGATACGAGGGCTGTTATCATTCCTGTCAAGAACAAACACCCTGACAGTCACATTGGTGCTGAGAGGGGGAGAACCCCCATCTTGGGCCTTCACTTGCACCCGAAACTCTCTGAATTGTTCATAGTCAAAGGATCTCTGGGCATAGATGGTGCCGGTCTCTGAATTAATGGAGATATAGGAGGAGATGGGAAGCTCCTCAATGTTGCTGCTGAGGATGGAGTATGTGATCCGTGAGTTCTGGTCCATATCGGGATCAGAGGCTTTGATGGTGAAAATGGAGGCACCTGAAGGATTGTTTTCTGGCACATAGATGCTGTAGGTTGATCTCTGAAATGTAGGGCACATTATCATTAATATCAGAAATCTGTAGTGAGATTGTTTTGTGTGTGGAAAGAGGTGGAGTTCCTCTATCAGTGGCTGTGATTGTAATATTATATGCAGGAGCTATTTCTCTGTCCAGGAGACTGTCGGTCTGGAGCTTGAAGTAATTGTTAGATGAGGGAAGAATTTTGAAGGGTAAATCATCCTGTAAATAGCAAGTAACCTTCCCATTATCTCCACTATCTCTGTCATTTACATTGATCAGTGCAATAACTGTCCCTGGCAGAGAATCTTCAGGAACAGGACTGAACATGGAGGCTAACGTCACCTCTGGGGCATTATCATTCTCATCAAGTACAGTTATTTCAATGTTGGATTGTGCCACCAATCCACCACCATCTTTGGCTTCTACTGCCATGGTATATTCTTTAGTTTCCTCAAAGTTGAGCAGTCCCGTAAGAGTGACTATGCCATTAATTGGATCCAAACTGAATTTCTTGTGGGTGTTTGCTGCTATGTTGCTGAATTGATACCTTATCTGAGCATAAGAGCTTTCGTCCTTATCTGAGGCTACAACCTGGAGCACAAGTGACCCAACAGGAACATTTTCAGGTAAATTGACTTTGTACACCTCCTGAGTGAAAACAGGTGGGTTGTCATTGGCATCTGTGACATTAATCCGTATCTGGACAGTCCCAGTTTTTCTTGGTTCGCCGCCATCCAAGGCTGTAAGCATCAAGTGAATAGTCTGTTCACTTTCTCGATCCATAACTTTACTTAGCACTAATTCGGCATATTTATTTCCATCTTTTCTCTCCCTTACTTCCAAGGTGAAGTACTGGTTGGAGCTCAGCTGGTAATTCTGGAGAGAGTTCAACCCAATATCAGGATCTTCTGCTTTCCCAAGGAGAAATCTGGTTCCTAGAACAGTTGATTCTACAATCTCTAAGTTGGTTATATCACTGAGGAACTGTGGTGCATTATCATTAATATCCTGTATAACTATTGTTATATGGAAAACATTTAAAGGATTTTCCATCACCACTTCAAAATTAATAAGGCAGAGTGGAGTTGTGCCACATATTTCCTCCCTATCAATTCTGTCATTCACATAAAGGTTTCCATTGTCTGCACTTATACTGAAATACTGCATTTTGTTCACAGAGGCAGCATGCAGATTGCGCCTTCCTAGATCTCTGGCATTCAGTCCCAAATCTTTGGCGAGATTTCCCACAATCGAACCCTTTGCCATCTCCTCAGGGATAGAATAGCGAATCTGCTCTGAGGCAGCCCAGCAGGAGAAAGGCAAAAATAAGAGAAGCAGTACTTGCCTTCTGAGTTTTCTGCCATCCTCTTCCTGCCTTTTGTCCATCCAGATCACTGAGAAATTTTCTGCCTCCTTTTCTGCAGCTTGTAGTGACCAGATCAGTTTCTCAATAGCACAGAGGAAATCTCTGTAAGTAAATATAAACTGCCTTCCTTCTTAGATTGTGAGGATTTGGAGCCTTTTCCTTTTTTTCAGCCAGACTGCAACGGCTTTGTGTTTTTCTCTTTGCCCAGTCTGTACAGAACTGATGAAACACTCACTTTGTAGGAGAAGCATAACTAGATCTCCATCCTTTTTTCTGGCACCACACTGGCCAACAGTGACACTCTGAGGCTCAGAGAGAGAATTGCAAATGTTGTTTTGTTATGAAAATAAAAAGCAGAAATACTACCAGTATGATCATATATTTGTGTTCCAGTAAAAAGGACAACTGAAAGAGTCAGATATTTGAGAATGCCCTCCTTTGGTTCTTTTGGAATAAATACTTCATTGCTTTTTAGACTCAGTTTTTAGATTCTTTCATGCTGGCCAGTGACTTTTAATGTATTGGAACTGCTGCTGTGACTATGAAGAGAACTTTCAAACTCCATGGTCAGGCAATACCTTCATTATTGCCAACAAAAATGCCACAAATTCTAGCTCCTGAAATTGTCATATCAGAAATTTCCAGAGATGCAGTATTTTTACAATTCCATTTGCAGAAGTATTTACATTTTCTCAATCAGAAGCTCATACTTTATTGGACACTTCTGCCTGACCAGAGATCTCTCTGTGCAACCTTTTTGGGAAAAATGAATAGCGTTAAAGCTGGAACTAGATGTTCTTTCAAAGGATGTGTGGCCGGCATCAAAAGCAGCAGTTCTGTGTCTCCCCCTCTCACCAAAAGAACTCAAAGTAAAACAAAAGGTGTAACATGATGCCATTGCTTTCAAAGCTTCACCACCCATGCATGTGGCAACCAATGAAGTGAGGAAAATTGCAACAAGATTCATTAGATGTTACAGATTTTTTAAAGGAGCAAATGGGGGGTGCCTGCTTTTGGCGTTGGCATAGTATCCTTTTGCACAGGACTGTCTCAGATGGGCATTGAGGGCAAGGCGGGTTCTAATGCTAGTGGGACAAGCAGCCAATAAACCCAACCACCCATGTATGAACTTCTCTTACTTTGTGACTTTACCAAATACTTGCATCAATGACATTGTCTGCATATCATACATACAGGCTGCATGTTCCCCTGGCTTTGCCACCTTAGCATTATGGAGGATCATGAGCAATCCAGAGATCCTAAAAACTATGCTGCTGTACAGTTCTAAGATGAGACACCAAAGAAGACCACATTTTCCATCAAGTGGCTCTTCTCGGTCTCACGGAGAGATCGTTCGCAGTTATGTTCCTGGAGATCCTTTAACTGGAGAGGGTAAGAATTGAATCTGGGACCTTCTGAGTACAACAAACTATAGAATTCCACCACTCAGCTATAGAATTCCAAATGTGGGGGAGTAGAGATTATTATTGGTCACCTGTTTATCCCACTTTTCCTCCAAGAAGTTCAGGGCAGCTTAGAGGAATGTGAGTGTGGGATCATTCCATTTTATCTTCTCAACAACCCTGGAGAAAGGCCAGGCTGAGAGAGATGTGACCAACGCTGCCCAGTGAGCTTCTTTTTGGATGAGTAATTATTTGAACTCAAGATTCCATAGTTCAACATTCTGTCCATTGCACCACAGGCTTCAAATATAGAACCTCTCAAAGCTGCCATACCTAAGCATTGCCACAATACACTTATTATTAATATGTCTACTTATGTGAAACATATTCTGTTCATACTTGAGATACTTTTTCTAGATAGTTCTCATTCTTTGCTTTCTCCTAAAATGGTAAAAACATAAGCTGAAATCACTATGCATAGACTGCTGGTTAAAAATAATATACTCTGTCACATAAAGCCAAATTCCTATAACTAAATATTTAATATTATGGAGAATCAAAGACTGCAATGAAATTGGTTTACAAACAGATGACAGTAGGTCCCGTTCCACATGTGAATATTTATCATTTGATGACTGCAGCATCTAGTGTGAACACAGATGTCACACCACAAATAAAATGGCTGAATGTTCTGAAACAAATCCAGCATATCAGTTCAGCTGCCAAGTGATCAAACTGTGTTCACACAGTTAACAAGTGATGTAGTTGTTCACATGAACTAGCCCTGGATTTTATACTCAAGGTGTGAAAGCACATAATTAACTCCAAAGGTTTGCATACTTCTCAATAAGATTTGATTAATGCAGTTGTCGTATAATGACTGTAATGTTTTAATTTAGCATGTTCTAAAGCTTCCCAATCATCTCAAACTCCTGAACTGTCTCAGGCTTCCATTGGGAAAATACAGCTGATGAGTTTTGATCATACGTATTATGGGTCTGTCACCATATGTGGGGTTAGAAATGAATTTCCCCATCCACAAGAGTGGTGAGTGATAAAACCTGGGTAACATCCTCCCTTAGAAGTGTGTGTCATCTAAGAACTAGGCATACATTATACTTCCAACAAGGCAAATAAATGCATAATACTGTTTTGATCTCAAACCTACTTATTTAACAACTATGAAATAGTTTTTCTTGTCAAAGAGAGTAAGCAAACATTCACTCCGGTTCTTTGTTTCCTGGGGGACTCTGACAAATATTTCTTTTGACCAAGAGAAGTCTAGTTTTTATGGGGAAAAGTGGTGTGCTTGTTGTATGTGTGGCGTAGGTATTTTCAAATACCAAAAACTATAAGATTCTGGTAAATATAAAATAATATGAGTGGAAGAATGTTCTTCCAACCCCTCTTCATAAAAGCACATAACAATTAATAGCAGGCATTATATTTAAAACCTCAGACCCCAGATCTGAAAGGGATAGCTCACCTGTGTATTGGCCGAATCTCCATTACTGCTATTAATATCTTCAGCAATGAGGAAGGGATCCTTTATTTCACATGTATCTTTATTGCTCAAAGTATTGGAATAATTTGCCTTAGAAATATTAAACTGACTTTTCCTAGAGTCTGTGGTGAGAGAAACCTCCTGGCAGTAGGAGTGCAGAAATGCTCGGACTCCATCGATCCCCACAAATTGTGACACGGGAGCCCCACTGAAATTCACACTCCCCGACTCAAACAGCTGAGAATTTCTCCACCTGTGCAACCTGACAGCCAGTAACACAAGGAGGAAGATGAAGAACAAGCAGGAGACAAAAGCCACTGCAAGGACCAGGTAGAAGGTGAGGTCAGACGGAGGCTCTACAGGAGCTGAGATGCTGCTCAGGTCTGAGAGGATTGCAGGGATGGTGTCAGCAAGCACCACAGTCAGAGTGGCTGAAGCAGAGAGAGGTGGCTGCCCATTGTCCTTCACTAAAACCACCAGGCTTTGCTTGAGGGCATCTTTCTCCAGAAAGAAGCGGGCCGTCCTGATCTCTCCCGTGTGGAGCCCCAGAGTGAAGAGCCCTGGCTCAGTGGCCTTGATCAGCTGGTAGGAGAGCCAGGCATTCTGGCCAGAGTCTGCATCCACGGCCACCACCTTAGTGACCAGGTAGCCTGGCTCAGAGGAGCGAGGGGCCAGTTCTATCCCCATGGAGCCGTCAGTGGGAGGGGAGGGGTACAGGATTTGGGGAGCATTGTCATTCTGGTCCAGGATGAAGAGAGTCACTGAGACGTTGGAGCTGAGTGATGGAGATCCTCCGTCCTGAGCCTTGACCAGGAACTTAATTTCCCTCATCTCCTCATAATCAAAAGAGATCAGGCCATAGACAATCCCAGTCTCAGAGTTAATGGAGAGGAAGGAAGATACTGGGGAGTCACTGATGTTGTGCTCAATGATGGAATAAGTGACTCTGGAGTTCTCTCCACAGTCTGGATCATCAGCCTTCAGGGAAAATATGGAGGCCCCTCTTGGGTTGTTCTCCATTAAATAAGAAGTATAAATGGAGTGCAGGAAGTGTGGAGGGTTGTCGTTTGTGTCTAAAATCTCAAGTGGAATAACAATCGATGTGGAAAGTGGAGGGGTCCCGTGATCCGTGACTGTGACAGTGATGTTGTAGGCTGCCACCTGCTCTCTGTCCAGGGCTCTTGCTGTCACCAAACTGTAGTAGTTGCCATAGGCTTTTGTCAGTAGAAAGGGGAGGTTGCTGGGGATAGAGCATGTGACTTCTGCATTCTCTGCCGAATCCTCATCTTGCACATTCAAAAGGGCTATTGCAGTCGCTGGTGGAGAGTTCTCAGGGATGGAGCTGATAAGTGAAGTTATTTCCAGTTTGGGTGCATTGTCATTTACATCAGTAACAAATATCAAAAGTTGAGATTTGTCAAAGAGTTCACCACCATCATGGACCTGGACCTCAATTTCATGAAGTGTAGACTCCTCGTAGTCTAAGCCTCTTGCAAGCGTAATTTCCCCAGTTTGTGAATTCAAATGGAATATTTGTGAAGCCCTTTCTGTGATCTTTCTGAATGAATATTTCAGTTCCTTGTTGACACCTTCATCCAGGTCAATGGCTTTTAATATAACCACTGTGGTACCAACAGGAATATCTTCCCTAACGCTTACTTCATAGCTATGATGGCTAAAAACTGGTGCATTGTCATTAGCATCTAAAACTGTCACTTGAATCTGTAGAGTTCCTGTCCTGACTGGATCTCCCCCATCATATGCTGTGAGGACCAGATTATGAATAGCTTCCTCTTCACGGTCCAAAGGCCTTTCCAGTACCAATTCAGTGTATTGTCTACCATCAACTGCCTCTTGCACATTGAGGGAAAAATGGCTACTGTTGCTGAGTTTGTATCCTTGAAGGGTATTGGTGCCCAAATCTAGATCCCGAGCTTCATCGAGGGGAAAGTGAGTTCCGGGTGCTGTAAGTTCACTCATTTTGAGCTCCAGTTTCTCTGAATGGAAGGTGGGAGCGTTGTCATTAATATCTGTGATTTCCACTTCAGCACCATATACTTTCATTGAATCCCCCACTATGGTATCAAAATTCAAGACACACTTTTCCACTTGTCCACAGAGCACCTCTCTGTCTATTCTCTCTGTAACGTACAAATGACCACTCTTATAATTCAAAGCAAAATACTGTGTCCTACCTCGAGAAACAATGCGGACTCCACGGCGTGAGAGCTCTTTTAATTCCAGCTTCAGGTCTTTGGCGATGGGCCCCACGAAAGAACCTTTTTCTGCTTCTTCAGGGATGGAATAATGAATCTGCCCTGTAACAGCTTGCCAAACATGAACCAGAATGAAACAAAAGACAGCTCTCCTTCTGCAATCCTGGAAAAAGGTTTCCATTGCCAGTTGTACTTCTGTGCCAAAGGTGAAGATCCTACTTCTTTGATAGAGTGGCTATATTTTAGATTTGTCTGTATGTGACTGAAATTCTTAATATATACACACAGACAACACAGATATCTCTATTGCCTGTATTTAAAATACAGATTTGATTTAATATAAGATCCTCCAGTTGTTCAGATTCCGTACGTGTGATCTCTCTTTCTGTATTTTCTGTAATGAAGCGATTGGATGGGAAAGTTGAATCTCTTACTAAATTGTTTCAGCCTTGGTTGGTAAACAGCGACACCCAGAGTCCTAAAACAATAACTTCATCTTCTTGGTGCTTTCTGAAATGCCATTTTCCTTAGTATGGTATATTTCTCATCCTGATACATCAGCTGCAAGTACAGTAGATCAGTGTTTCCCAACCTTGTGCCTCCAGCTGTTTTTGGCCTACAATTCCCATCATCCCTTGCCACTGGTCTTGCTAGTCAGGGATGATGGGAGTTGTAGTTCAAAAACAGCTGGAGGCACAAGGTTGGGAAACACTGCAGTAGATGACCAGAAAAAAAACTCCCACTCCATTTGTGTGACATTTTGTAGCAATCCAGGTTCATGATTGAATCACACTTCTGATCATGGAAACTGATTGTTCTCTGCTTATAATCATTATACTGCTATTGTAGGCTGTTACTCTCCACACAGTCTCTTGGAAGTTGCTAGACACTGTGACGATCTTGTCTGAAATATCATGAAATATATTCCCCTGATATTTTCTGGTACTTTAATAAACATTTTTTTTCTGTTCAGATTTTAAATAATGTGGAATCCAGCTAGAAACTCACGTGCATATATGCATGCACACACGTGATTATAAATCTTTTCTGTGCTATCTAGAATTTAAACCAACTCTGTTATAAAAATAGATAACTTAAATTATGGGAATAAAATAATGATAAAATATGTTTCCAAAATATTTATTTTTAAAATGTTTATCCCACCCATGCCCCCAAATTTTCTCAGAGCAACATTACCTCAAGAAATATAAGGATAAGGTAACAGGAAGGGTTGTGCCCATAACATACACATTCATATGCACATTTACTCAAGGCCGAATACATGGTACATTAAAATATCATGTGTGGACCCTGTGACTTGGATCAGTGCCGTGATGCAGGGGGTACCTAATTAGGCCCTCATTTCCCCCCAACATGTTGCTTTGGGTGATCTGCACTGAGGTTCTGGCACAGAGAAAAACATTAGACCCCCCCCCCATTCTCATGTTGTGGCCCTGATCAAAATTAGAAAACCTTCACGACTGCTTCTACAAAGAAGAAAATTATATTAGGATCGCCAAATGCAGAGCTCCTATGTAACAAGTAGTTTATCTCTCAGAAGATCCACTGTGTTCAAGCATAGGAGTGTGTGTATGTGTAGACACACACACACACACACACACACAGAGAGAGAGAGAGAGAGAGAGAGAGAGAGAATCCTGAATCCTAAGAATTGCTGAATCCTATTTTAAACAATAGTGTTTTTTCTGATTGAAATGTTTACATGCAGTCTCAAACAGGGCAGAGCACTACAAATAAATACAAAAATGGATTTTAAAGGACTCCCAATAATTTTTTGTATTATAGTTATATTTTGCCTTTCCTCCAGTGAGCTTACATGGCCCCCACCCCTCTTTTCTCTTCACAATACAAATGATGTTGGTTAGGTTGATAGGTCAGTGACAGGCTCAAGTTCACCCAGTGAGCTTCATGGCTGAGTGAGGATTTTAACCTATCTCTCCCCAATCCTTTCACCTCAAAACTTTCAGAACTTTGTGGGAGGGATTCAAGCACACAATTAAACTGTACTGAAGTGCTCTGCTGCCATTGCACAACAAATCTGTTTGTAAAAAAATGGGTCTTTTTGTGGTTAGGCAAGTGCTAGGGAAATGCACTGGAAAGAGTGAGATGAATGAATGATTCATGGGAAGATGTATAAATGCTGCAGAAACAAATCAGGATCCATGCTCATTGTCACAGAACCTCCCTGCAAACAAATGAGAACAAGCGTGCAAGAAAGATATAGTCTAACCTCCCCAGTAAGCTTTGTGCAAGAAAATCAGGATGACTTCTCAATAAACAGGTTGTCTCAAGGGGCCCCTAGTTCAACAGTCAAACTGCTACACCACAAGAACTTTCTTTCTATAAGCACTACATTTCTAGGAGCTTCATGTGACATCAAGCATGTCTGTAGGAATGTGATTTTGCCAAGTGTTGGGGGGGGGGAAACCATTTTATCTTATACTGTGTTGTGATGCTAAGCATGACATGAATTATCCGATTCTGATTTTGTCACCTAAAACTGCATCAACTATTCTCAAATTCTCTGCTTCTCTCAAATCTTTATCATCTCTTTCTTTCTAAACTGGTTTGAAAACTAATTCTTTTTCCCTCTTTTAAAAATAATAATCATAAAAGTGTAGAATTATAGCAAATGATTCGAAATGAGTGGCCAAACTAATTCAAAAATATGGAGAAAATTAGCACCACCCTATCTCTGAAATAAGTTAAGAAAAAAGCTTTGCAGAATGTTTGTAATATGCATCCACCCTCATCCAGCAACAAAATATCCACACACGGATAACTGGATTTGAACCTGAATGCCCATCCTAGCTTGTCAGTGCTAAGTTAGTTTTTGCCTCTTTCCTCACCTGATCATTTTGTTTGGGTAGGAAGTTATTTGGTTAATGTGTGGAATCTTCAAATATTAGATTACTCTATCCAAAATCTTAAATGGCACAGCCCAACATCACAGAAGGGTCTGATTGTTTCAATTCTAAGTTGAGGATTGGGAATTTGGGCAGGTAGTGACAAGCTATAAGAACAAATGAAAACTGAAGAGATTGCTAATTATCTGACTATTAGGTGTATAAATAATTCCTCTAGTATTCACTGCAATTAAAGGAAGGTGAAAGAATATTGCAATATCAAATGGCAGACTTTGTAAAGCACCCCAATTTTCATTGCACACAGGGGTGCTATGAAATAATATCATAAGATGTGAATTAAGTGGGTGGGATCCAAAATTATTTATCACTTCCTCTTCCTTCCTCCTTCTCCACTCCCATCACTTCCAGACTGTGACATATATGCACATTTATCCGCCTTATTAAGTATCCATGTAGATGGCAATATATAGATCTGTAAATAAGTAACTGCACAGCACGTCTATAACGACAGTAGGATTAGTCAGAATTAATATAGATAAAATGATTGCTTCATTAATGTTGAAGCAACCAGAAAAACAAGGACTATTTAGCATCTGTTATAAAAGAAATTATATTTCTTTTCCTCAGACTAGACATCATTATGAATCTATTGGAAGATACATCCACTATCTACAATATAGTTCTTCATATATAGACACAGTTTAAAAGTAGTGCAGGAGATAATGTGAATAATATCTAGAACGAAAACTCACCATGTTTGTATTATCCATCTCAGAATTAAAATGGTTTTCTCTGCTGCCTGTAAAAGGTGGAGCAGTTTTGTCATCACAGATAACATTGTCTGCAATCTGAACATTAGGTGTCAGGAATGCAAACTCATTTTTCCTGGTCTCTGAGGACAGACAGAGCTGGTAGGTGTAGGGCAAAGTCCCTTCTTCAAAATTTGGTGGGAATACGGTACCAGCCTTTGAAAAAGGAGTAGGACCAAAGCACTGAAGGAACTGAGGACTGCTTGATGTGCGAAGCTTTGTAACAACTGCCAGAATCACCGTAAGGAGAAATAAGAATGAAATCACAGCTAAAGTCAATACTAAATAAAACTGTAGGTCAGATTGATTATGTGAGTCAATACTTTCACTGCTCACTTCTGGGAGTGCTTCTTGGAAGTTCTCAGCAAACACCAGGTTGAGACTCACAGTAGCAGATAGTGGTGGCTGCCCATTATCCTTGACTAAGATGATGAGCTTCTGCTTCACAGCATCTCTTTCCAGAAAAGCCCGTGAGGTCCTGATCTCCCCAGTGTGGGACCCAATTCTGAACAATGCTGGCTCTGTAGCCTGAAGCAGGTGGTAAGAGAGCCAGGCGTTATGTCCAGAATCAGCATCTACTGCCACTACCTTGGTCACCAGATAATCTTCTTCTGCTGAGCAAGGCACCATCTCAAACAAGGATGAACCCTTGACTTCCTGTGAAGGGTAGAGGATTTGAGGATTGTTATCATTCTGATCCACAACGAACACTTTCACTGTGGTGTTTCTGCTGAGTGGTGGGGAGCCACCATCTTGTGCTTTCACTTGGAACTGAAACTCCCTGATTTGCTCATAGTCAAAGGAGCGTTGGGCATAGATAATGCCATTTTCTGAGTTGATGGAGATATAAGAGGACAGAGGCAGGTTCTCCATATTACTATTGAGCAGAGAATAAGTGATTTGCGAGTTGTACTCTAGATCTGCATCTGTAGCCTTTACAGGGAAAATGGAAGTTCCAGCTGGATTGTTCTCTGACAAATAGGTGACATAGGAAGATTTTTCAAAAGCTGGGGGGTTATCATTGATATCCGAAATCTGCAGGGAGATGGTTCTGTGGGTGGAAAGAGGTGGTGCACCTTTGTCTGTGGCTATAATTGTGATATTGTATTCTGGAGTGCTTTCTCTGTCCAAGGGGGCATCTGTAACCAACTTATAGAAGTTATTGGATGTAGCAATTATTCTAAATTGCCACTGACTTTGTAAATGACAAGTAATGTTCCCATTGTCTCCAGAATCTTTATCGTTTACATTGATAAGGGCTACCAGGGTTCCTATTGCAGAATCTTCAGGAATTGGGCTGGATAAGGAAGCCAGGATCACTTCTGGCGCATTGTCATTCTCATCTAATAGCTTTATTTCAACACTGCAATGAGTCACTAATCCACCTCCGTCTCTTGCTTCTACTGTCATTGCATATTTCTCTGCTTCTTCGTAGTCCAACAACTCCTTAACTGTAATTGTCCCATTCTGGGGATTTAGGAAGAATTTTTTGCGAGCGTTTTCAGGGATGTTGCTAAAACTATACATGATATGACCATTTGAGCCTTCATCTCTATCTGTGGCTTTCACTTGTATTACTGAAGATCCTTTGGGGTATTCTCTTTAAGACAGACCTTGTACACTTCTTGTGTGAAGATTGGTGAATTATCATTTGCATCAATGACACTGATCCATATTGTGGCAGTCCCAGTTTTGGCAGGCTTCCCTCCATCCAGAGCCATAAGAATTAAATGGAAACTGCTTTCACTTTCTCGATCCAACTGTTTATTCAGTACTATTTCTGCATATTTCTTCCCATCTTCTCTCTCTCTAGCTTCTACTATGAAATACTGATTGGGCATAAGGTGGTAATTCTGGAGAGAGTTTATTCCAACATCTGGATCTTCAGCAAACCCAAGCACAAATCGGGCTCCTGGCAGAGTGAATTCACTTGTCTCTAGTTTGATATTCTCATTCACAAAATGTGGTGCATTATCATTGATATCCTGGATCTGTACAGTAACATGAAAAATATTCATAGGATTTTCAACCATCACTTCAAAACTAATGAGGCAATAAGCATTGCTTCCACATATTCCTTCTCTGTCTATCCTGTCATTTACATATAGATTTCCATTTTCTATACTGATTGTGAAATATTGCCTTTTACCCAAAGAAAGGATATGCAGATTGCGATTTGCTATTTCTCCAGCATTCAGCTCCAAATCTTTGGCAAGATTTCCTACAATGGAGCCTTTTTCCATTTCCTCAGCGATAGAATACTGAACGTGCTCTGAGGCAGCCTGGCACAACAAGGACAATAACAAGAGGAGTGGTACTTGCCTGTTTACCGACCCATTTTTCTCTTTGTGCCTGTTGTCCATCTGATTTGGTGAGACATTTGCTTTATTCTTTTCTTGCATATTTTCATTAGATGGAGATCCTCAAGTTCTCATCAAGACCCACAAATCCACAACAAGGAAGTATAAAAGCAGTCACTGTCCCTTTCTATATGTTGCAGTGGGTTTTATTTCCTTAGCAAAAGTGTTTTCATGTCCCTGTGTTCTACTATCTCCCAGTTCTGCAGTCTGTGGCTAAACAACAGCACTGCAGGAAGCATCGCTTAGCAGATTCCATGCAGCACCATGAGAACTGCATTAGCCAACAGCGACACTCTGAGTCTGAGATGGAGAACTTCATGTGCTGCTTCCCCCCCTTCTTCTAGTGCTTGGATGTCGAATACAAGAGCAATCTATTTTCAAATGCAGTATGAGAAGGTTTTCTTGCTTTGTAACTACTTTTTGGTGTTTTGCTTTTACAGTAGCAGGAAAGAGAAATATATTTCAAGTGCTTTAGAGATGCAACAACCTCCCCATCCCTCAAATTTTCCATCTTCCCTCTGTACTTCCACAGATAACTGATGGAAGAGATTGTTAGCACTCAACAACATTTTGTAGCCAATTAATACAACTTCTATGTCCAGCCCTCCTCTGTAAAACAATACATTTAATAAAATTCAGCGATATTACTATTTTTAATGAAAATGTGAGCAACTAACAGAGCAATCCTATGGAGGTTGGACAGGCAGCATGGATGGCAGAGATAATTGTAGCAGAGGAACCAAGTGATGAATAGGGTACAAGATAGGAGGTGGCTTTTTTTACTTTCCCCATTTTCTTTCTTGTAAAAAAAAATTGGTTCCACAGGGAAGGAAAATAACTCCAGGGCTGGTGTAGTTTCCCCCCTATTCCATCCTTGAGTAGGTCTGGGAAACAAGGGAATCTAAAGCCTCCCTGGAGCACCCCCTTCTTGCCTTTCCACCCATAGAGCACTGCCTGCAATACAGCTATGGCAACGGAGTGTTCTGTCACTGGTCAAGGAAGGACCTCTCCAGTGGAGCTTCCTCTCTGCTGTTAGATAACCTCCTCTGCTCAAAGGCGAAGGTCTGCAGAATCCCAGGTCCCCTGGGACCACTTACAACAGAGGACTAAAAAAGTCCTTGCTACTTACTCCAAACTCTTCTCTAAACGCTTGCACAAACACTTGTGAAACCGCACTGGTGGTTATTTTTCTAATTCATTTTATGCATGCCACACAGGGTACAAAATACAGAGAGAGGAATAAAACAGAGACCTTTAAAAAGAGATAACTTTGTCATCATTTGTCACTAAAATGTTGGCCTGGGTTTAAGGTGAATACATAATGGCATGCATGAGTGCTAAATAACAGTTTGGCCAAAGTTTGAACTGTTTATCAATGTATCCTCAAATACTGTTGTGACATAGAATCATAGAGTTGGAAGGGCCCCTGAGGATCGTCTAGTCCAATCCCCTGCAATGCAGGAATATGCAGCTGCCCCATACAGGAACAGAACCTACAGCCTTGGCATTATCAGCATCATACTCTAACCCAGTGTTTCCCAACCGGTGTTCCGCGGCACACGAGTGTGCCGCGGAACGTTGCCTTGTGTTCCGTGGGAGGGAGGCGGGCGACTCGGGTGGCGAGAGGCGGGCGGCGGCGGCGAGCACACGCGGGGCGGCGAGCGAGCTCCCTCCCACATCCCATCGCCGCTCGCTTCGGCCGGCCTACTGGAGCGAGCGGCGATGGGATGTGGGAGGGAGCTCGCTCGCCGCCCCGCGTGTGCTCGCCGCCGCCGCCCCACCTCTCGCCGCCCGAGTCGCCCGCCTCCCTCCCACGGCACACCAGCCTACCTCCGTGTGCCTTTGCCCAAAAAAGGTTGGGAAACACTGCTCTAACCAACTGAGCTATCCAGGCGAACAATACTGCAATACTATTAACATTTATATTCTAGCTGCACAGTTCTAGGATCGTAGCTGAAATAGTTATGCATCTTCATTTAAAAGACTGAAAGCAGCAGAAAGACCTCAGCACCAGATCATAACCATTGCCACCTGATTCATGGGATTGAGTGTGCCATGAGAATTGGACTCTAGTTGGATTCACAGTCTGAGACCTCTACATATACAAAACATGTTTTTGTATGAGCTTTGGAGAACCACCTTGCCCGCCCATCTCATTCATCAGTCACTCCATCCTTGCAGGTTGCTCTTCTTGGCTCAGGCAAACTGACTGTCAGTAAGCATCCCGAGTGTCTGTGCCAGATGGTGTTTGCAGTGTTGAATGCTCTAGAAAAGACCCTCCTTTAACCACACCATGCATCTTGACACTTGACATGCCCATAGTGCTGTCCTCATACAGATGTGGTCCCCAGATACAGGATAATATTGCTCCTGGCATCCATACCTGGAGCCCAGGGCCTGTAAAGATCCATGGATGCCTCTATGTCCTACCTTCAGTTTGAACAAACAGAGAGCTGGATCACTCCAGAAATGAACAGCTCACTACATTGTTGAAACTTGCATATGTGTGATCACAGAAGTGTGAATATAAATGATAAAATTATATGAATATACAAGATGACGGGTACAGAATTTTGTTATAATTCACATTTTAGGGCACTTATTTTCCAGGCTCCAGAAACTATGCATGGATACATATTCGTGGATTCAAAAGTTTGATAGAGTAACATGGTACTTAAGCACATGTAAAAATGTGTTTATTACCATTAATCTTTAATCATTCCATTCCCCACCCCTTGTGCATGTCAGACAACTTGCTCCTTGGAGGAAGAGATTTGTCTATTTTTGCTTATTTATCTACTTGATTTATACACTACTCTTCAAGCCACAGGTTTACAATCAGATCAAATAAATAAAATAAAATACAATCAATATATAAAATCCATAGACTAGCACAATTTTTTAAATGGAAAACACAGCAACTCATAACAATTCAACTAAGTAGCAATTTCCTAATAGCAACAGCAACAGCAAACTAAACACTTTTTTTCTAATCAAGTCTCTCCTTCTCCAAACATCACCTGAAAAAAGTTTGCCTTAACTAGCCACCTAAAATTATATAGATATGGGACTAGATGCACCTTAGAAGGGAGGGAGTTTCACATGTGAGGAGCCACCACTGACACTGCCCTCCCCTGGGCCTTGCACCATCCTGTTTAGAGACCACCAAGAGGGCCTCATCTGCTAAAGCATGGGCAGACTGATATGGAAGAAAGTGGTTTCGCAGATATTGGGCACCTCTGTAGAGTACCATGTACCCTGATGGTGTATCAACAACAATTCTATGCAGATCACATGCTTCGTCAAAGCACTCTCATCTATGCGTTGGTCTCCAGGTGGCATCACATGATAAAGAGAGGAACTGCAATTTATTTCACCCTTCATTTGTCTGTTCTAGTCTAATGCACCAAGGGAAGAACTTCTGAATGTCTTCTGAATGCATGAGCTCTAAAGGCATGATTCTGAAACATATCCAACTAACCACAAAACTTAAGAATGTTTGCAAAGTGTTCGTAAATAGTATAACACAAGACATCAGTTTCACCAATGAGTGCTGGAGGACATCTGCAAAAAGTCTCTAAGCATAAAAATATTGATAAGCAAAAGGTTTACAGCCTAAGGGAGTTTGGAGCATGCATCTGAGAAAGCATGCATTGTAGCTTTCTTTGACTAGAAGGGAATATTAACATGTTGAATTGTATTGCAACCTGGACTGTTCCATTTTAACATCTATAGTTAGAACAATCGTTCAAACATTTAAAAAAAAATAATTGGATTGTCCGTGGCAACAGTTAAATGTGGCCTGGTGCTGGGACTGTTGGCTATACCCTCAGCACTGTATAGCCAGCAAGGTTACCAACAGCCTTATTACTGGGATTCTCAGCAGTCTACTGAGAAAAGCAGTTGGTAACCTTTACCATAGCGAGGAAGGAACACAAAACAGCAAAGTGGGAGAGAAGTAATATCAGGGCTGTGAGTGACACAACTTCAAAGTTCTGGAAAGCAGTGAGGATGGAGAGAGAGGAAGTAGAGGAGGCTTAATATGTAAATAGGCTGGAAGGGGGAAACAACACTATTTAAGCTTGTGGTTTTAGAAAGGGGAAGAGTCATTGTCTTTCTACAGAAAGGAATAAAGAACTCTAAATCAGAGATTAAAACACGGAGTACAGAAGAAACCTGAAAATCACTGATCACATCTTAAAGAGGGAAAATGCAACACATGAGTTTTTATCTTATTAAAAAGAACTTGCCAAACTACAGAATTTCATAACTACTTGAGACACATTGCACTTTACTAACAAAAAAGGTGAAGGCTAGTGAAAAGTTGAAAGCCACAAAGTAAGTGGTAAGTTATCATGATATAAAAGAGACATAACACAGTGTTAGGTGTGCCTATTTTTCAGGAAAGTGTCCATAATTGCTGACAGATGAGACTTGAGTCACAGATATGTCAGACTGAAATCTCAGTAAGTGACTGCAAAAAGGCCCACTTAAGTCAGAGGGGCCCATATATGCATAAATATGCACAATAAAAAATGTTTATGAGATGTGCAATGAAAATAATGTTTACCTTGTCAATATTCTCCATCTCAGGATGTAAATTGTTTCCTTCATTGCCTGTAAAAGGAACACTAGGTTTCTCACTGCTAACAATATTGTCTACCATCTGAACATTGGGTGTCAGGAAGGCAAACTCATTCTTCCTGGTCTCAGAAGACAGACACAGCTGGTAGGAATAGGGCAAAGTCCCATCTTCAAAGTTGGGTGGGAAGATGGCACCATTCTTGGAATGGGGAACAGGACCAAAGCACTGTAGGAACCTGGGATGCCCTGAGTGACGGAGCTTCATTGTAACGGCCAGAATCACAGTCAAGAGGAACATGAAGGAGATCACAGCTAAGGCCAGCACCAAGTAGAACTGCAGGTCAGACTGATACTCCGAGCTGCTGGGTTGGCTCTTCATTTCCGGAAGGGCCTCCTGAAAGTTCTCAGCAAACACCAGGTTCAGAGTCATGGTGGCCGAGAGAGACGGCTGCCCGTTATCCTTCACCATAATGACCAGCCTCTGTTTCACAGCGTCTCTCTCCACAAAGGCCCTGGCCGTCCTGATCTCTCCAGTATGAGAACCAACCGTGAAGAGTGCCGGCTCAGTGGCCTGAGTCAGGTGGTAGGAGAGCCAGGCGTTGTGTCCAGAATCTGCATCCACGGCCACCACCTTGGTGACAAGATAATCTGCCTCGGCCGAACGAGGCACCATCTCAAACAAGGCTGAGCCCTTGGCTTCTTGGGAGGGGGACAGGATACAAGGGCTGTTATCATTCCTGTCAAGAACAAACACCCTGACGGTCACATTGCTGCTGAGAGGGGGAGAACCCCCATCTTGGGCCTTCACTTGCAGCCGGAACTCTCTGAATTGTTCATAGTCAAAGGATCTCTGGGCATAGATGGTGCCAGTCTCTGAATTAATGGAGATATAGGAGGAGATGGGAAGCTCCTCGATGTTGCTGTTGAGGATGGAGTAAGTGATCCGTGCGTTCTGGTCCACATCGGGATCAGAGGCTTTGATGGTGAAAATGGAGGCACCTGAAGGATTGTTTTCTGGCACATAGATAGCATACAAAGATTTCTCAAAGGAAGGGGCATTATCATTGATATCAGATATCTGTAGTAAGATGACTTTATGGGTGTTCAGTGGGGGAGTTCCATTGTCAGTGGCTGTGATTGTGATATTATATGCAGGAGTTTTTTCTCTGTCCAAAGGGCTGTCTGTCAGGAGTTTGAAGTAATTGTTAGACGAGGGAACAATCTTGAAGGGCTGATCGTTTTTCAAATAACAACTAACCTTTCCATTCTCACCAGTGTCTTTGTCTTTTACATTGATCAGAGCGATTAAGGTTCCAGACACAGAATCTTCTGGGACTGGACTAAATAAGGAAACCAGAGTTACCTCTGGGAAATTGTCATTCTCATCAATAATCTGTATTTCTACTTTACAGTGTGTTACTAATCCACCTCCATCTTTTGCTGCAACTGTCATAGTATATTCTCTGGTTTCCTCAAAGTCTAATGGGCTCATAAGAGTGATTGTGCCATTACTAGAATGCAAGTTGAATTTCCCCTGAGCACTTTTTTGGATGTTGCTGAAATGGTAACTGATTTTGGCATTTGTACCTTCATCTTTATCAGAGGCTAAAATCTGGAGCACAAGGGAGCCAACAGGAGCATTTTCCTTCAGACTGACCTTGTACACTTCTTGGGTGAAAACTGGTGGGTTGTCATTGGCATCTGTGACATTAATCCATATCTGGGCAGTTCCAGTCTTCCTAGGTTCACCCCCATCCAAGGCTGTGAGGATCAAGTGAATGGTCTGTTCACTTTCCCGATCTAGTGGTTTCTGAAGCACCAAG